GGCCTAGGCATGACAATCGGAGGACTCGAGGGGGATGGAGGACTAGTGGAAATGATCGGCTGGCTGCTTCCAGTCAAATAGAGAGGTGAAAGCTGAGAGCATTGTGTGCCAGTAATCTTCAAAAGGCAAAGATCATCCTTTAAACTACTACCCCATAAACTGTTCTCTCATGAAATAAGCAGTTTCATTCACAGTTCACTTTGCCCTGGTATTTCTCTTCTCTCCATGCTTTGCATGATTTGCCATGGTGCAGTACTGTTAGTTTTGTGCATACTGTTTGCTGTGATCTGTGGGTCTTTGAATTTCAGTGAGTTTTTTGGAAATGTTGAAGGACATAATTTTAAACTTCAATGTTCAATGAAATTTTTTTCAACCATGAAATGGAGAGAGCAGCTTTAAAACGTACTAAGCCTTGTGCAAATTGGTGAGTACTGGCACATGAAATCTGAGAATAAAAGTCCACACCTCTCACTTTAACAAGTGGGGCAGGAAAGCAATGGCTTTTCAATGCCTTTGAAAGTCGAAGTTCCTCCACCTATACATAGTCGTCATGTCGAGACCTGCCAGAGAGAGACACATTCTCAAGTGAACCCTGGCTTCTTGGAAGCGCTTGCCTAGACGAGACACAGTGCATAAAAACAACTTGGTGACTTTGGGGGGACAGGTATGTTTTTCTTGCAGCTGCGGTTCAAAGGTCTTGGCAAGACGAGCAGTGTGGCCCATTTTTTTTTTGAGCTTCTAATGAGTGTGTATGTGAAGGACCTTGTATGTTTTTACTCTAAGGTCCTCAAATGAGCACATGAAGAGGCTGCTGTGAGATTTAGTGGCCCTACTGCAAGAAGCTTTCAGATGTCACTTGATGATTTGTAAAGGGGACTCTTGAGTTGGGAATGACAAGCAAATGCATACTCCTTATGGTAAGGTTTTGGCTCACAGGGTGGGTGATGAGACGGGATCAGACGGAGTGTGCATTACTTTCTCTTCCACAATACTCTTGCAGAAATGGATGATTCTAACACTGTTCTTTGCAGCCATTATTCCCTTTAAAATACTCTTGTCTAATGTTTATCTTCGATTTGGCTGTTGTGGTGTGCAAAACTTTGTACTTCGCTTTTTGCCACACTGCAACACTTTACAGATGTGGAAGATGTGAAATTTGTCATCAATTATGACTACCCTAACTCCTCAGAGGACTATATCCACCGAATTGGACGAACTGCCCGCAGTACCAAAACAGGCACAGCATACACATTCTTTACTCCTAACAATATTAAGCAAGTAAATGACCTCATCTCTGTGCTTCGGGAGGCTAATCAAGCCATCAACCCCAAATTGCTTCAGCTGATTGAAGACAGAGGGTCAGGTAAGCGCTGTTCTTGATCTCAGTGTGCATAGCTTTCATCTCAGAACAAAAAGGAAACTCAGATTCCACCTCCAGCCTCTCTCCAAAATGGATGTGGAAGGTGGTTTAGTTACCAGTTATGGTGACCTCAGAAGGTATTTATAAACAGCAATATCACAAAACAACACCCAGATGTGCTCCCAGCTCATGCTGTGGAGCACTTATGGCTACTGCTGGCCAAAGAGGCACTTCTTACTTGGTCAGAAATAAAACAGCTGTGGGCTCAGTTTTGTGGCTTGGAAAGGTGGATGGACCCAAGTGTCCTGCAGGCAAGGTGAAAGTGACGTTTTGCCTGGATGCCACCACTCTTAGTACAGGGAGAGCGTGTGACTGCCCTCAGAGTAGATCTGCACGGCTGGGCCAGGAAAGGAAACGCGCTGAGCTGAACTCAGGCAGCCTCTGTAATCCATGTAACTCTTGTCTCTCTCACCAGGTCGCTCCCGAGGGGATCGCCGTGACAGATACTCTGCGGGCAAAAGGGGTGGATTTAGTAGCTTTAGAGAGAGGGAGAACTTTGAGAGAACCTATGGCGCGCTAGGCAAGAGAGACTTCGGAGCCAAAACTCAGAACGGGGCCTACAGCGCCCAGAGTTTCAGCAATGGAACTCCCTTTGGGAACGGCTTTGCGGCCGCAGGGATGCAGGCTGGCTTCAGGGCGGGCGGTAACCCCGCGGGAGCGTACCAGAACGGCTACGAGCAGCAGTACGGCTCCAACATTGCCAACATGCACAATGGCATGAACCAGCAGCAGTACGCCTACCCTGCCACTGGTGCTGCTCCTATGATAGGTTACCCCATGCCCACAAGTTATTCTCAATAACTTAGTGTAATTTAAATGTCTCAGTTTTTTTCATAATTGCTCTTTATATTGTGTGTTACCGAAAAACAGGATAGTTATTTAAGAAAATGGGAAATGCAGAAATGACTGCAGTGCAGCAGTAATTATGGTGCACTTTTTCGCTATTTAAGTTGAATATTTCTCTACATTCCTGAAACAATTTTTAGTTTTTTGTACTAGAAAATGCAGACAGTGTTTTCAAAGTAAATGTACAGTGATTTGAAATACAGTACCAGAAGGCAGTGCATGGCCTTCCAATAAAGATATTTGAAGACCGAATTTTCTTTCAGATGACAATTTTCTCAACATGTGCACAACTTTACATTAATGGAATGTCAAAATGTTTTTATATTAAATTCTAGAAAGGTTTCTCAACTGTGTCTGATTAAACATTTAAGCTTATACAAAAACCAGCCTTGCCTTGATTGGGCTAGATCGCTTAGCATGGCAGGCTCTGCTTCGAGGGGGAAGAAAATTCAGGCTGGCTTCTAAGAAAAAGTGTTGGAAACTGTTCTTCCTTGTCTCACTAGAGTAGGGCCAGTTCTTGGAGAAGATCAAAACTCTGTAGTGGTGTTGCTAACGAGCTGCTACGAGCGTAGGAAGCTTCTGCAGCACCGTAACCGTCGCCTTCACACGAGCATATGTGCAGACCAGGCTTGAGTGTCGTGTACCCACAGCTGCCAGGCCTTGTGAGTTAGCATGCAGGCTTCTGAGCTTCAGAGAAACGGGAAGATCTTAGTATTAAAACTTCAAATTATACTTAAACCGGTATTGAGCAGTGATTTCTTTATGGAAGCGGGTGGAGGGATTTGGGCTGGCAATCCAGGAATGTGTCTCTTGGTTGTTTTTTTTTTTTTTTTTATGACTTCTAATATGTGCAAATGACTCTTTAATCTCAAAGCACTGCCCATGCTGAGCGAAGCAACGGCATTTCCTTGATGAGCAGAGCTGGAATAATACTTGATCCTGGGGTTAAAGTGCTTAATGCTTTCAAGTACAGTTATTAAAATTCCGGTTAATGCTAACTTTCAGTTCCTTCCTCTCACTTGTTTATCAGTAACAATGATGAGTTTCAAGTTTAACAATGCTTAATTACAGCTTAATGTGTTCAAGGTTGAGTCTACAAGATTCTTTCTAGGTTATTTTAAACCCAAGTCAGACTACTTCTTTTATACTTAAGATCTTTTTTGCTTAGTCTGTGCTTAGCCCTTGGTGATTGTTTCCCTCTGAGGTTCAGCTTGTGATGTTCTTTAACGCAGCCTAATCTGCCTCATAATTGTTTCCTCCTTTTCTATGGAGTTCTATCACTTGACAGTATTTTGTGAGCATTTGCTGTTGTGAGAACTTCAGCTGGAGGCTTGAAAGTACCCCACTTGAGTTTAAAACTGCAGTTGGCAAAGTGTTGCTTTATTTTTTTAATTGGCTCTGCAGCGTTTCCTTTGCCCAGTGCCACCAGTGTCGAAAGACAAGGAAGTAGGTTACTTATCACTGAAGTATGACTTAATCCCTAAGTTTCCAGGTCAGTGGCCTGAAACAAAATTCATTTGAAAGCCTCCTTTATAATGAAGTTTTTTAAAGTTTTTTTAGTATTAAGTAAATTTACAGCTTGTGACTTAAAACTGACAGATGAGGATCTTATTGATGCAAAACCTAAACAGCCTCTTTCCACTTGTATTTTTTTACTTGTCGAATGATGATCATCTGGGGGAAGTGTCAGGTGGGCACTCATAACATTTGCACATAAAATGATGAAGTGACGAGCTCTACTAAGCAGCTTGGCTGCTGTGGTGGAATTGAGCTCATGGCAAATCTGCCTTAGACATAAACTGCCTTGCAATACTTTTGCACCCAGGAGCAGCAGCTCCTCCGGCTGACCCAGTGCCCTACTAATGCGTCTTTTCAGTCCTGGGCCCCGGGGTGGGGGCTGAGCAGGAGAACCGGCGCGGGGATTATCCCAGCCCGAGCCTTTCGTGACCACAGCCCTCAGAATGGTTCCCGTCTCACGCTCCTCCTCCTGGCGCCGCCAGCAACTCGTGATGCAGCGACGATGGAAATTTCCACTGCGCTGCCTCCGCTCTGCCAGCGTGAACTCGAGAGCCCCGGCGAGCGCAGGAGCCTCGCCCGCCCTCTTGGCAGGAGCCTCTCGCTCTGCCTCAGGCCTGGGGCTGCCCTGGGACGGGCTGTTCCCCTGGAATGTCCCCGTGTTCCCGCCACAGCAGGGCCTTTCCCACCCCACTGCCCCTTCCAGCCCCCCGGGAGCTCTGGAGCTCCGTGTCCAAGAGGGGAAGGTGAGATGTGACCCCGTGGTGCAGGGCACAAGGTGGAGGCTTCCAAAAACACGGGGTAAAAAGGGAAATCTTTCATACAGTAAAATATACATGAATCCTCCTACTTGCTACATGTGCTCCCCCTACCTAATGCATATTTATTTGTGTGATCTTGAATGCCCAAAACAAGGTTCTGTATTACACGACTTCCATTTCAGAAGTTACCCGACGACATTAGCTACGTTTACAAAAGGCGAGGAAGTCCAGCTTGAAGACACCAAATGCTTTTGTTAAAGCTATCCGAAGGCACCATTGCGTTTACAGAAGACGCGAGGATTCCGGCAGGGCACAGGTAATAAAATCTGGACACAGCCCCGAGCTGGGCCCAGGACCAGGCCCGGTCGGCTCTGGGGTCGGTGTGTCCCGGGGGGCGGGCCCGGGCGGTGCCCTCGCGCATGCGCACCCGCGCGCCCCGCCGTGAGGGAGGTGGGAAGATGGCGCTGGGCGCCCGCCAGGGCCGGCGCTGGGGCGGCCGCGCCGCGCTGGGGCGGCCCGAGCTGGGGCGGCGGCGCGTCCCGGGCCGGGCGGAGCCGCCGGGGTGCCCAGCGCGGCCCTACGCGGTGGAGGCGGCGGGCGGGGCGGAGCTGCTGGAGGTGTGCTGGCGGCGGCGCTTCCTGCGCGGCGCGGCGGGGCCGCTGCCCTGGCGCGCCTACCTGAGCGGGCAGCACCCGGGGCTCGGGCCGCTCGGCGCGGCCCTGCGCGCCAACCTGGCGGCGCAGTGGTGGGACTCGGCCATCCCCCCGCGGGAGCAGGTGTTCGCCGTGGATGCCCCGCTCCACGGCCCGCCCGGAGCCTCGCGGGACGCGCGGGGGCTGCGGCTGCTGCACCCGGACACGCTGCGGGACGCCCTGCGGGGCTGCGGGCACAGCCCGGCCCTGGACCGAGTGCTGGGCACCGCGGGGGTGCTGCGGCAGAGCCTCCTGCCCGGTAGGTCCTGGGCGGCCCCGCACAGCCCAGGCCCTGCGAGCGGGGTCCTGGCTGGGAGAGAAACAGCTGCGTGTAAGGGAATTTTCCAGCTGTGTTGACTGCATGCTGTGAGTTTGTGTCCTTTTCGAGGACCTGAGCAGCGCAGATGGGCAGTGGGTGCAGTCCCTGTAATTAGGGGAAAGGCACCTTCAAATCAAAGTGCCCAGAGGAACCAGGCTGCTGAGCCCGTCCCTGCAAAGCATCAGCACTAGTGAGGCTTCACATAGAAACAACATTTACATCATGTGCTGTGTTTGCTGTTGTTAGACTGAAAACGTAAGAAACTTCCCTGTGGCCACTAAAATCAGGGCTTTACCTTTTGACAGGTGTTCTGGCACAGTATGTCAGCTGCTTAGAGCTGGTGAACAAAAGACTGCCCTGTGGCCTGGCTCAGATTGGAGTGTGCTTTCATTCCCTTCCAGAAAGTGAACAACCCAACGAAAACCTTACAAGGTAGAGTAATAGGGGGATTGATCCCTTTCCACGCTTAAAGTAACTGTTAACACTTGTTTCACTACTGGACTGTTTTTGAACGCTGTCTCTTGCTTTTTCCCTGTTATTTCCGAAGGTGTTAACTTGCTGCCCTTGCTATTGTTTAAAGAATAGGCGAGAGCACCACGTCCTTGCTTGCATGGTTTAGTGCTCCCAGAACTGCAGGACAGTGGCTCGATTACTGGCTACGCCAGAGGCTCCAGTGGTGGAGGAAGGTAACAGCAGCCTATCCCTGGGGAATCCTGGCCTGCTCTTAGTGCCTCAGAGGGGAAACAGTCACCCTGCTTGGTTTTATGACCTTAGGTTGTTGGCCTGTTGTAGTCACTGAAATGGGCTGATTTCTCGTGGAAACTGAAAAGCTACTGAAGTTTGTGACAAACCCAATAAGAAGTTTGTCATGTGACTTATGGAAGGGCAAATGTTTTGTGTTTGTAAGTGATGGGAGGTTAAAATGCTGGGAAACAACAGAGATTTGTGTTGTAATTTATACAAATCTTTTGCTGAAAATCACAGACTTCAGCTTGCATTGCAGACTTGTTTGTTTTTAGTTAATCCAGGATTCACAGTATTGCACCTCTTACACCTTTTATTTTCAGTTTGCAGTAGGCCCATCTAACTTCAGCAGCAGTGACTTCCACGATGAAGAAGGCAGAAGAGGATTTAAGTTACATTACAGAGTTTCCTTGGGGGACAGAAACAATAGAAACCTTGAAGAACCTTGGTGATTCTGAACTGTTACAGATGTATCCAGGGGAAAGCTCAAAATTACTTGTAAGCTTCACTATATCAAAAATCTTTTCTGATACAGAGGGTAATGTGTGAGAGGAAGAGGTTTCTCTGCTGGTCCAGTTGCTTAGCAGGTGACTGTCTTGTTATTTGTTTGCTGTAAAAGTAGTACAATTGATACTCTGCAGTCAGACCTTCATTTTCAGAAGCTGATAAAACAGTGTTAGGGGACTTTTTTTTTTCCCAGAAGTTAATTCATTGTAATTAGAAATGAGCTGTATTGACAAGACAGCTGTTGTCAGTGCCACAGTCTTTACTTGTATCTGTTAAAAGATGTCAAGGGAAACTCAGTGTTCAGTTTAAAAAACCTGTTCAGCTTTGCAGTGTTCAGTTTAAAAAACCTGTAAATGTTTTTTTCTTGCTGTAGCTTGTTCTCATCCATGTATATGGAATATTATGTAGATTAATGGGTTATAAACACTGCAAATGGCTTTAGAGAAGTTACCACACTCAAAGGGGGAATGGATCAGAGGGAAGCCTCTGCACTGAATGTATTGGAGAGGGACAAACTTCTGGTGAATGGCAATGTTTGAAGTCAGGCTGAACTGAGAAAATAAGAGTAACTTGGTATTTTACCAGTAAATTGCAACCTTCTCACGGCAGTCCTGTCTTTCCTGGCTTTGCAGTTTATTTCTATAGAGAAGGTGGAAGACTAACCTACAAAACTGGGGCAGGGATTTCTTGGAACGTGGGGAGAGACCCTCATGGTCACTTTGAAATAATCTACACACCTCCAAAGCAAAATGCAACTGCAAGTGTGTTTGCCATAGATTTAAATTTATGATCATAGTGGCAGGCAAGAAACTAATCCCATCCTCCTCTGACCTTCTGCCTTCCCCAGTGTTACGTGGTTCCTGTTACACTTCTAAGATTTCTGGCAACTTTTTAAAATACATGTCTGATAGTGCTTTAAATATAATGAGGGTACTTGCCCTCAGTGCCTCATTATACATTTAAAGCAAGCAAAAGGCTTTTTGGGTCAATCTTTGATGTTTCCTTTGTGGTTTTTTTCTCCTCAGGGCCGAGATGGAAGGAGGAATGTCATCCCTCATGTTCTGTCCATGGATGGGAACCTGGACCGAGGAGTCTTGGCCTATCTCTTTGATTCCCTGCAGCTGGCTGAGAACCCATTAACAACAAAGAAAAATTCACAGAGAAAGGTAACTTCCTCTAGAAAGTGTAAGAAAAGCCTGAGTACAAAAGCCACAGACAGTGTGGTAAATTCAGACGTGGAAATGTCTCCTTTTCCCACCTGGCCATCCCGTTCCCTTCCCAAATGGGGACTGACTGCTCTCACTGGTAGCACCAGGCTGGCCCATGGCACTGCCCACCAGTCACACACAGAAGCAATTTTTCTCTCATTCTGAGGTTCCTTTTCCTATCTTACTTTTTTCTCTGATGGGTAGGCAGGCTCTTGCCATGCAAGCAGTGAAGGAGTTAAGAGAAGTTGGAATGTGGCTGCAGTTTGTGGGAAAGAGGAATTTGTCTCTTCCAGCAGCATTTGAAGGCGGCTGAGAAGAGTAGAAAAAGTGGGTCACAGGTGGTGGTGGGGCATCCTCCCAAGGGCCATGGTTATTCCCACTTTCCCCCTGTTTCCCTGCAGTTGGAGTGCTGGCTGTCACACAGGGCTTGTCACCCAAACAGCTGTTTGTTCTGTAAGAACAGGCAGTGGATTGGATGGGAGGTGTCTGCTGGGCTGTCTCTGATCGCTCTGGCTCCACTGAAGAGGATGGAGCTCTGCTAACAAATCTTCATTTCTTTCCTGGGGCTCAGCCAGAACTGAGTAATATAATAATATAATAATAATCCTGTGAATGTGGCTGGAGTATGAGTGTGCCAGTTATATAAACTACAGCTTGCTGCTAATTCGGGAATTCGTGCTGTGAGAAAATTTTTGCCCGTTTAGAGCCTTAATTTCAGTTAAAAAACTTACTCTTCCCTGGTTCTGTAGAATTGTGTGCTAAACACATTTGGTGATCTGTTGCCTTTTGTGAATTTATTAGGTGCTGAAGCTCCATCCTTGTTTAGCACCTCTCAAAGTGGCCTTGGACGTAGGAAAAGGTCCAACAACAGAGCTGAGACAGGTGTGTGGTAAGACAGCATTTTAATTTTGAGCACTGGATCTCCATGTTACAATTCAGACAGGGTTTGTGTTAGGGGGAAAAATCTTCCTGCTGCTTTGATTCCTGCTGTGCAGCTTGTGAGTCACAGCCAAAGAAGTTCATTCACTGCAGGCAGTTCCCTGTGTGGGCACAACAGCTTTTGGTGCTGTTCATAGACCTGCTACTTGTTCCATGCAAAATTAAGGAAAATAAATAACACGGTCCCTCCCAGCTTCTTAATATTTCAGAATTATCTTAACACATGGGTTGCATCTTCAGAAGGATTTTTTAAAAGTTTTTATGTCAGTCCTCACAGAAAGGAGGAAACTTTTACACTGTTTTTAAACAGAAATGGAGATTTAGTTGCCAGGCTGCTTTCCATTTGGAGATTATTTCAGCCAGCAAATTAACACCAGCTAGGAATGTTAATACCACACGTGTTCGAGTTTTAATGGTCTCTTTGTAGAGTCTCAAACCCTCCCTGTCTGTCTTTTAACTTTTGTTTTTGAATGATCCCAGGTTTGTCAAGGACTGTTCAACGAACTGACAGAAAACAGAATTTCTGTGTGGCCAGGTTATCTTGAGACTGTGCCAGTGTCTCTGGAACAGCTTTATACAAAGTAAGGAAAAACAATCTTTGGTAAATTAAACTATAAAAGTGAAAGATGACTTTCTGTGGCCTAGAGAAAATATGCCTGGTTTCTGGAAGAAACCATTGGGTGCAGTAACCTTGTGACTGAAGGCATCGATCCCAAAATACAGAGTTGGATTTGAGTGGGTTTATTATGAAAAGCATATTGTTCATTTTTTAAATTAAGTCTAAGCCTTTCACGTGTTATTGTTGTCCCTGGAAGTGGGAAATGCCTTTTAGAGACTCTCTAGTGAAAGTAAATGTCTTCAGATGAGTCAGAAGCTCTCAGAACTGTTTCCCACCCTCACCCCCGCATTTTTACATCTGTTCTGGCTCTGTGTTCCATTCTTAGGTACTGTTTCAAACAGCACACTGTGACTAACCTTAAAAGTTCTTCCCAGTCTGGAACCATTACTATCAGTGTATTTGATGGGATTATTTGTGGGTATAAAAACAGCTATTCCATTTGGGGGATCATGTATGATGTTTGTCAGGAGTGAGTTTGGGGCATGTGGCTGCTCATGTCAGTGGATGGGGAGCATACTGAGGAATATTTCTTCCTGAGGGAAAGTAAATACAGCTATTTGTTCATGTGCAGTAATATTGAAAGTAAGTCAAATGAATTCTACAAAAATATTCCTGCAATAGGTCACTAAATAACATTCTTTTATGTACTAAAGTAGCTAAATAATTTAAAGAACTGTAATCAGGAAAGCAAGGAACGGCAATAAGAAAACTGATGTTGTCCTGCTGGACTTAGTGCAGCACAGCAAAAATAACCATTTACAGCCTGTGGTCACTGGCACATAACTGATCTGATTTTTTTCCACACACCCAAAGCAGTAACAGGGGGGCTCTTTCCTTTTCAGGTACGATGAGATGAGCGTTCTCTTCATGATCCTGATAACTGATGCCACTCTGGAGAACGGGGTGGTGCAGCTGAGGAGCAGGGACACCACCATGAAGGAAATGATGCACATTTCTAGGCTGAAGGACTTTTTAACCAAGTATGTGACGTCAGCCAAAAATGTGTAAGCTGAGATTCGCTGAATAAAGGGATTTTCTTAAGCTGCTGTGCCTGGAGCGCTTTCAGCGTTGTCGTGGACTCGGTGGTTTCTCTGCAAATGGCTCTGCTAAAGTTGGGTGGTGAATCTGTTTGCTGCCAGATCTAGGCCATCCAGGTCTTCCAGGTTTCCTTGGAAAGAGGGAAGAGACATGACTTGTCCCTGGTTAGCAGGGCTGACCATATCCAGTAAAAGTATTCCACCCTAAGCTAAAAATTCAGCTTTCATCTGTATTGCTGACACAATTATGATCTCTGCTGGAAAATGGGATTTTATATAAAAGGCTTCCAAATCTTAAATGTTTTAATAAATCAGTATCTTTGTACTATCTGTTTGTAGGAATGTATTTTAGTCACATGGCCCCAGTTCTCCAACATTGAAGCAACTTCATCTTGCACTTGATAAACATAAAAATCAGAAGTAAGTTATCAAGAGTAACAGAGGAATAGATTTAAATAAATTGTGACCTTTATACAAGCATTTTTTGTGGAAAGAAAAAGGCTGTACGTAAAATATACAGGATATAAAATGCTGGAAAAAGACTCTGATATGTGATGACATTTTTCCTACTGAGCAGAGTGGTTAAAATCAGATACAAGAGGTTGCATAGATACAGAATTGAGTGTTTCTGATCTTCTGGAGATTTACATGTTTAGAATTGAGTGTTTCTGATCTTCTGGAGATTTACATGTTTAGAGCTTGTTGAGTCACTGTGTAAAGTGCTTCAAGTGTGTGCAGCAAGGCCCGTGGCCTCTGATAGTCATCAGTGTCGTGAAACACAAGAACTTGCCTTAAAATTTTCTTCTTGACTAAAAATGAGTTCTTTGTAACAATAATTGCTGCATAGTGTAATTGTGTTAGATAAAGTGCAAGGTCAGCATAGTGTGACTTGTTGAACGTGTGGAATTCTAAATAAGCTGGCTCTGGAATGGTATTGGAACAACCCAGGATTATCTAAGAACAGCCTGTGGCAGGATGCAGAATTTGTTTGGGAATTAGCTGTTCCAAAAGTTAATTTTGTCATCCTGTCCCTACTCTGAGAGCTGAAATAATGTAGAACTGAGAAATCCCCATCCTTTTTCTCTGAAGTCCTTAGATGTTATAACTCTTGAGTTTTTGCTTTTATCTGTCCACAGACTGCCTAGGCCAGGAAACTGCTATCTGAACATCATCCCTTCCTGTGAAACTTTTGATACTTTATCACATTTGGGGACTGCAGAATTCTTTAAAAACACATGATTAAGTTAATCACAAAAGAGATCATACCTGGTACTCAGTTTCTGATGAGGACCTTTGAATAGACTGTAGGACATGCCCTCTTCCCTGCTAAAAGCCAAAACAGCACAATTCATAATTGCTTTTTTGATACAGAACCCCAGTAGAAGAATTAACTTTACATCAGCAGCATGGTTACCAATAACATCTGCATGGTTTCATAGTGAGGCTGTTGAGTTTTTGGGTCATAGGATAGTTCTTTTCTTCTCTTTTTTCCCCCCCTCAAAAGATCTTAAGTTACTTTAATTTCTCCATGGTAACTGAGCAATTTCACAAGCAACTGCAGCTGTCTGAGCCCTGCCTCCACCCAGCAAAGTCCCCTCAAAACACGTTTGTGAGCATCAGATATTCCAGTATTACAGCTTTAGGTTTTCACCTTTTTCATCTTCTCTTCTAATAACAGAAAAGTTGATGTATTCTTCTTCTGGCTTAACAGGCTCTGGATTAAAGGGAGTGAACAGCAGTTAATTACAAGTAACTAATCAGATTTTTTTTTTTCCTATAATCTTGAAATAAAACAGTGACATTCTACAGGGAATATAAATCCTGTTTTGGGGAGCTTTCCTGGACCTTATCAGAGCTGTTGTCCCTGTCCCTGCAGGCTGTGGGGGGGATGCTGAGTGACCCCTGGCACGAGCAGCTGCACAGCAGGGCAGTGAGGACCTTACCTGTGTGCTGCAGGACCAGGAAGGCAGGTCAGTTTGGAGATATTTAGTGATTTGGATATTCAGAAATGGGAAACATCACGCCCTTGCTGTTGGTTTGCTTTGGGGGTTTCTTTTTTCCCCCTTCAGAAGAGACATCTGGTGATGCCAGGGATGGATTCTGAGGGACTTCAAACAGTGCCTGTGCCAGGCAGGGTCAGCAGTGCTGCTCCTGCAGTGTCTGAGAGCTGTGCTCACACCATCCTCACTGCAGGGGGGTGGCATGAACTTACCAATCTCTGCATATATGACATCATTTTCAGTCTCCTCCACGTTCACTGTTGATGTAAAGCCAGCTGAGGGCCTGGTAGACTTGTATTTTTCTGCAAATAGTAGAAGAAAAGTGTCTATACCTGTATCAGTTTTTCTTAAGAGGGAAATAAATAGTTTCATGGTGATTTTTTTGAATATTTGGAGAGCTCAGATAATGTTATTTTCATGATAAGTATTAGTCTTTAACCAGGGGCATTTTAATAGATTTTAATAGATTTCCCTTTCCAGTGAGATCTAATCCCTTCCAGTGTTTCTGTGTATTATATTAGATGTTGTTCTGTTACTCCCATCCCACACCTGCCATCCAAACCAGCTTTGCCTTGTCAGTGTTTTGTTAAGTTGCCAAGTGCTGGTTGAGAGGAGACTTGACAACACCCTAAATCACCAAGAGCTGCTCTGCTGGGAAGGTGATGTTTACACACTATAATATATCGACAACAGAAATGAAAATGAAAGAGACATTCCAGTAACTCACTTGCTTTATATGAAGGAATTATGAAAAATGGAATTGCCAGAGCAAATCCTATTACGAGTAGCAGCAGGATCAGCCCAAGAGAAATTATCAGGGCCTGAGAATGGCTTCTCTCTTCTGCCAAAAAAAAGAAGAAGAAAAAAGTGTTTCTGCAGTGAAATGTTTTGTATTTTAACTATTTTCTGTGCATTAAAAATCAAGATCTTTGGAATTCCTTTCAGCTTTTGGATTAACTGTGGTCAGTGGAAGTGCTCAGGAGGGTCCTGAGGGCACAGCCCCAGCTTGGTGGGGCCAGGAGGCTCTTCCCTAGGACCTGAGAGAAAAATGAAACCAGACTATTCCCAAGGTGGACCAGGAGTCTCTTGTAAAAGTGAGTCTTTTACAGTCATTCTTCATGGGCACTTCAGCTGCTCCCATCTAGGCTGCACGGAATTCTATGGTTTTGCATGCATTTTAAAAACTCAAATCATTTTTTTTGTTGTAAAAAAATGATATTTTGAACATGATATTGCAGGAACAAAACATCTGGCTAAAACACTTGGGTCATGAGAGTGTTCTGAATTGTGTGTGGTTCCCTGTTGGTCAGTGGTAACTCTTCTCACACGCTCTTACCTGCTAATGTGAAGTTGAAACTGTTGCTGTATTTCATACTGTTGGGAAAACTATTATTAGCTTTGCATTTATAGGTTCCAGAGTCGGTGGAGGAGTTGACAGATAGAAAAATCACGGCTGCTTCCCTCTCGTGGGTGATCTTTGGGGGAGAGATGCTTTGTTGGCCCTTGAAGAAGGTGTAAGTGATGGGAAGAGATCCGTTCTGGGAGAAACAGGACAGGGTCACGTTCTGGCCTTTGGCTGGGTGAGAGGTGGGGGAGCTCAGCACTGGTTTGGAGACTGGCTCTGTGAAAAGAAAACTGGAAGAGCTCAATCACTGAGTACAGGACAAGCTCCAAGCAAGACTCGCAGTTAAACAACAAAAAATGAGATGGGCATCGAGGATGGAGGGTTGGGTGAGCCAGGGCAGGGCAGCACTGCTGATTGCTGAGGGAATAACAGCCATCTGCAGTAAAGGTAGGACTGTGCCCCTAAAATAAAGAGTGCTGGGAAGGTGCACAGCCAGACATACCTAGAAGGGTGAAGGTGAGGCTGTTGCTGTATTTTCCAGCACTGGAGCTGTTGTGCTCAGCTTTGCATTTGTAGGGACCCAGGTCGCTGGCAGAGCTGATGGTCAGGGTGAACAGTGCAGGGGTGGAGTCTGACCTGTTCAAAGAGGATACCTGCTGGTTGTGTTGGAACAGGGTGTATCTGACAGGGGCAGAGGCAGAGGCAGAGCAGCAGGAGAGCGTCACGTTCTGGTTCATCACCACATTCAAACTGTGAACCGGCACGAGCTTGGGGTTGGACAGGATCCCTGGGAAGGAGAAACTTCCGAGTGAGTTGGCTGCACCTATCACCCAAAAAGCTCTCAGGTTTTTCCCAAAATATGTTGAGAACCAAGCTATATTTATATCTCTCTTGAAATAGGGCATTGTGTGCTTTTTTCCACCTCCATTAGCAGGCGACTCAAGTTCATACTTTTTAAAACCAGTTTGCAGCTTCACCCGTGACAAAAAGTGCTTGTCTTCATGCAGAGGAGGGCACAGCCACACAAAGCCCACAGGTGTGTCCAGGTGAACCAACAAAAATGCTTTTCAACTACAGCTGCAGTTAAAATAATAGAAGTACAAAAGATAAATGAAATATTTGGGGTGTTAATTGTAGGGGAAAGTAACCTTATGTACTCTGTGAAAGGTAGCATGTGAACCTGAAAGCAAAAGCAGTATTTAATTTGTGGCTGGATGTAAAAAGGCAGAATTAACCTTGTGTAAGTAGATTGAAGTTTTGAATAGTAGCAACAAGGGCCTTCATGGTCTCTCAGATTTGTTTCCTTTTATAATATTATAAGAATAATTTTGTAACAAAAATCTGTCTTTTCATAAAAAGTGGTACCAAATTAGTCATAACTAAAATCAGAGCATTTCTAGTGGGGAAAAAATATTTTAACAACTTAAAGCAAATTTGACTGTACAGACAGGACAGCAAAGAGACCTGTTAACTTTGTACAAAAACTTGTAAACTGCCTCACTGCACAGACAGGCAAAAGATTGAATTTTACATGAACTTTTTGGAGGTTTTTAAATCCCTTCCCCGTTTTTTGGTTAACAGTCAGTTGCAGCACGTATCTCAAAATCAACAAAAGAGAACCTACCTTTGCCACTTGCAGTAGTTTTCTGTATCTGCTGAGACAGTTGAGCTAAGAGAAGGAAAAGAAAAAAGCTTTCAGATGAGAAACATCTGAAAGGTTCTGGTCTCGAAAGATTTGGAGTAGGAAAGAAGCAGGTCCTTGGCTTACGGTAGGAAAACAGCAGAACTGTGAGAAAAAACATCTTCTTGATACTGGGCAAGAGAGCTGGTGGAGTTACATGACAGATCTTCCTTTCAAGAGACCGAGGAGTGGCTCCAGGGCTTGAGGAAGTTCTAAATACGGAAACAGTGCTGATCTCTGCTGATGTTTCTGTGAAGACTTTCTGGTCATGTTCCATGTGCTTTCAGCCTGGGGCAGGCAGGGCAGTGGGCAGAGCGAGGAGCAGCAGTTTGGGGTACAGGTAAGTGTTACCTGGAATTGTTCTAAGCCACAATCAGCAGTTTTCCACGTGAGTTGGGTGGTAGAAAGTGCTGTCACGTATGGAATCAGAATCACTGAGGCTGGAAGAGATCTCTCAGATTACTGAGTCCAACCATTGCCAGGTCCACCACTAAACCATGTCCCCAAGTGCCACATCTACGCGTCTTTTAAATCCCTCCAGGGCTGGTGACTCCACCACTTCCCAGGGCAGCACGTGCCAACACTTGACAGCCTTTTCCATGGAGAAATTTTCCCTAATATGCAATATAAACCTCCCCTGGTACAACTGGAGGCTGTCCCTCTTGTCCTATCACTTGTTACTAGGGAGAAAATACCACCACATCCCCACCCCCGGCTACAACCTCCTTTGAGTAGTTTTTCTGGTACTGTTCTTAAAAGGAATGAGATCAATCATTGATCCGTATCAAAAAGTCACATGTTTACCATAAATACTACAGGTGATCATATGGCTGACACTAAGGAAGTACTTGGTGCTGGGTGTTTTTTAGCAGCAATATAATTTAAAAAAAAAAAAAAAGGAAAAAGAGAGTATCAAATTTATAGAAGTTTTAGGATGCTAATAAATATTTATAGCTAGCCAGCCTGTTTGGAAAATATTTTGGTCAAACTTCAAATGTGAAGCTGTGAGGAAGTGAGACCTTGCATTGGATGCTCCAGATCTCATAAGGACCTTGAGTTCAACAGCACTGCAGAAACAAACCTGATGACTAATTTGATGAGCTAATCAGTAATATAAATGACAGGCTTGGCAAGTGGATGTTCCTTCCTTGTCCGCCCCTGGGCAAAGTGTAACCATCAGCCATTCACGAGCAGTGCCTTCTGAGGGGCTCCAGGCCCTGTGGTGTGTGAGGAGGTGATTGCTTACACAGAACGTGCCTTCAAAGAGTTGTTGTGATCCTCATCTGATTTCTGATTTCTTTGTTTCCAGTCTCTGAAGGCAACAAGACAAAGCCCTGCAGTGTGGAGCTGTAATACAGGAGCCCTCTGAACCCTCGGCTCTTGCAGCATTGCAGAACTTCCTCACAGAATGTGTGTGCACTTCCTTCCTCCTTGTTTTTTGTTGGTGGTTTTTTTTTTTAATTTTGGGGGTGGAGGGGATTTGTTTTGTTTTGTTTTAATTTCTTCTAAGACAGTCTCCACCCTCCCCTCACAACTGTTTGTGGGGTGGAAACGCTGACAGCAAACCACAAAGGCGGAACTTCTTTTCACAGCTGTCAGGTGGCACGTGTGAAAATGCAGCTGTGGGGGACGAACTGGGGGGGTGTTTGTGCATTTCCCTGGTGTGGCAGCCAGTTCTTGTCAGAAACCCTCACCCACAGTCCCTGAGACACCGGCATTGGGGATGGTGTCCCCTCAGAGGTGGCCCTGTCCCCTCAGAGATGGCCCTGTCCCCTCAGAGGTGGTGGTGTCCCCTCAGAGATGGCCCTGTCCCCTCAGAGGCCCTGGAGGTGCTCACCCACCACCCGAGGCTTTTCTCTTTCTAAGAAGCTGCTTCTCGTTGTGTGTGGGCAGTGGGGAATGGTTACCCAGCAAATGAGCTGTGAATTTGGCCCTGCCTTTCAAAAAATGAAAGCCTGGTTGTCACCAGGATCTCTCATTGACAGCAGATTTAGTGGGGTGTGTGCAGGTTCCCTTGGGATGCACAGCCTGGGTGTCCAAAGAGGGCAAGCCCAAAGCCCTGGTTAGGGTTTGGAAGTGAATTTACTTCCATGCTGATTGTTCTTCTGGCAGGGCTGGCTGTTGACTTTGGACTAAGGTGATGTTGCTTTGTTCAGCATGTATACAGAGAGTTTGATGCCAAACCAGTAAGATATTGTGCAAGCTCAGAGTTCCATTTTTATTAGATGTACGAATTTCCTGCCTGGAATTAAAGTGGCTGTACGTGTAAGAAAAACTGAATAAATTTAACAAAGAGTAATGAACATGACATTACAGAGCAGAAGCCATCCAGCTAAAACAAGTAAGTTAAAAAAATCAGAAAGGGAAATATGTATCACTCGGTGCCGGGACAATATTCTGCCTCAGGTGAGCAGGTGGAAGAGAATAAAACTGAGCTTTCATTCACAAGGTCAGCTCTTTCACTTGGGAATGTAAATAGTGTGATAGTGTTCTGCAGTAAGGCTGGGAAAGCTTCACACTGTGTCTGTTCTATCACAGCCTGCCAGGGACATTTGCATTTTTCAACAGAATGATGAAAGTTATTCCCAGCCCCATTTTCTCACCCGGAGAGGTTCTGGAGGAGCATCTGCTGGAGTAGATATCTGCAGAAGGTTTGCTAGAAATCCCCCTGTACTGACAGTTATGTCTGGTCATGAGTTAAGTGAAGGCTCTGTTTTGTCTGCAGAAAGGTTTTACTGATACAGCTCGATCCTCACTGAATACCATATTTGTACACTCCTGTAAAAATAGCTGTGGGAGCCAGTCTGCTGTTTATTTTAACTACTTGGTGTTTGTGAGAGGATTGTTCTCCTGGAGGACAATTAAGAGCAGAAGATGAAAGGATCTCTTCTATGTGGATATTTAAGGTAGCTTTAAATTTCTTGCAGTGATGCTCAGGTTGTGAATGAGAATTTTGACATAGTGCCTGGTTTTCAGTTAACTGCAGGTTGCAAAGGCCATGTCAGCAGGTGAAAGGAACTTTTGGGCACCCAGTTTGATAACCCCAAAGGTGAAATGTGGTGTCCTCTGAATCCTCTCCCAAAACTGTAAAAGAAAGAAAGAAAGAAAGAATTGGGGTGGGACACAGAAAACTGGGGTTACTAATGCACTTCTCATGGGATAAATTCAGACATCACTGCATGAAGAGTGTTCCAGGGAAATGTGTTCAGGAATTGCCGTGGGAATGCTGTGGTTGCACCCTATCAGTAAGGAAGCATAAAACCCACCTAGCAATAATTAACTCCTGTTCTATTAAAAAGAACAATTGCAGTGTGAAAGCCTCAGTGATATTCTATAATTATCAGCTCCTGGTTCCTTTAGTTGCTTTTCCAGGTTTAATTCCTGTTGCCATTTGGAGGGGGTGTTGGATACCAGTAACCACATGTTTAAGTGCACTTTGCTGCCGTGCTCATCTCCCAGCAGATGGTGCCATTGTGAAATGCAATTTATTCCCAGGTGCACAAACTGGCAATCCAGAGTCTCTGTAAATTGTAGAACTTCCAGACTCCTGGGGAAAAAAAAAAAAAAAAAGTTAATTTCTTTATTGTACTCTGTAAATATGCAAATCCATGGAGGAAAAAATAAGTTTTAGTTCTTCCCTGGGGAGGTATAAAGAGACACTTTTAAAACAAAGAGTGTCCCACATTCAAGAGAAAACAGTATGCCCTGAAAATCTATGTAGAAAGAACTTGTTTCATTCCCAGTTCACCAGGGATTTGGCCAGACTTGTGTAAACAGCAGTGTTTGTCATAGTTCTATTATCTGTGAGCATACTGAAACAGGAGTTTAGAATTGAGCAAAACAGCTCCCAGCTGCAAGAAATCAAAATAATTTCATGATTATCTGTGTCAGGAATTGGAGGACTAGAAATCAGAGCTGCTTTTTCGGTCTTGATTGAGTTACTGGAAAACTTGTGTTGACTGTGGCGTAGATGGACCCAGACCTCTGAATTTTTAGAGATTTTAAAATAAAACTCAGAAAAAAACCCCAAACATTTGTAGACACACCTCTGTAGCAATTAACTATTTTTAAACCCGGTGAACTCACACGAGAAATTACGTACGAGGGCTGAGATTTCTGACCCCAGAAAGGTTTTTATCGGTGAGATAGAAATTCTGTTCTGCAGAAAGTAAAACTGCCCTCAGGAACAGGCGTCTGAGAGCAGGAGGCAGAGCTGGGGGGGCCCAGAAGTGGCTGGGCTGGCTGTGAGGAAGTGAATTGTCAGTGCTGAGCACCAGCAGCGGTGTGAGGAAGTGAATTGTCAGTGCTGAGCACCAGCAGCGCGGCCGCTCTGCGCTGTCCCAAACAACCAGCTGCGACGGGCTGGGAACTCCGAGCTGCCTTTCCTGTCAGGAGGCACTGCCTGAAAACACTTGTGTTTGCAGAGGGAAAAAATTTGAAAATCTTATTCAGCATTTTTCCCTTTAGCTGGCAAAGCAGGCCTTGCCTCTCGTTTCAGCGCAGCTCTGTTCGGCTGCCAGGGCTGAGGGCTCGTAGGAAATGTCGTGTGGAAGCGAGCAGCGGGGGATCCAGCCAGCAGAAACTGGGAATTCCCACAGGAGGTTTCGTGTTTAAGGGCCCAATTTGTTGGCAGCAGATGAAATGTGATGATTCCCACGGGTTTCAAAGGGCACTGGGTCGGATTATAATGATTTATTCTGTCTGCTGCATTTCGGAGGTCAGTCCTGCTTTTCCTGTAAATGGAGATAGGGATTGAATAGAGTTCTATATATGATGTATAGTAGAATAAATTAGATCTTATATAACTCAGAAATACATATCTTGAGAGATTACAATCAGCTGGCTGTCAGGAAAATCTGCAGCTCTACTACTGGCACAGGTGCTTTGGAGTTTAAATTCTTTAGGTCCATGTGACTCCCAGGGTAACCAGGGGAGATGGTCTCAAGCCGTTCTTTTGTGTTTGCAGTGTTTTTCTCTCAAGTGTCATGTTCTTTTGGCTGGAATTCCTGCAGTTGAATTTACTTCTTGGATTTTGGTCAACGCCAGCGGGATTTTCCTCTGCAGGACAATGTCGAGGCTGGGCAGGAATGTGACAGTGGAATCAGCCTGTAAGATCTTCTGGAATGTGCTTCACTTTTGGCATTAATCCTTGCTCCTGGGCTGGTTCATCCTCTAAGCTGGCCTTTCCACCCGAGTCTCAAACTAGCCTGGCTCTGAACTTGGCCCCCACTCGCTCTCTCCTTCCCTCACCGGGGCTCAGAAAAACTTTTGTCCCCCGTGGGAAAGCCTGGTGTGGTTTTGCTGAGCTTTTTACATTGTGCTGAATTCTTTTCTGGGGAAAGGAGGGAAGGGGAAAATCTCCTTCCTTCCTAGTTTTTTGTTACCCATAGCAAGGGTTGATCTACCTTTGTTCTCCACCTGCCACGTGTCCTCCTGGCCTTTTCCTCTACCTGTCCCTGGAGACCATTGTTGGCCACGGGCCAAACCCCCCATCCTTTGTTGGTGGAGCGTTTCCAACAGCCCGGGCTGAGCAGAACAAACACTGGTGGCAGTTAATGGCTTGGCTTTTAGTCATTAATTGCCGTGGCTATTGTGCCGTTCTGTGAAACAGCCAGAGAGGTGCTTGTTCACCACCGGTGCATTGTTAACCACATGAGTGTTTTCCTTCTGCTTCCCTTTGCAAAATGCCCTGCTTGTGTGGCTAACAACCCACACTTACAGCTTTAAAATATCGATTTTTTTCTGGGGAGAAATACAGTTTTCATTTACCCCAGGAAAACAAAAAAAGAGGATTTTATGTAAGTGAAGCTCATGAGAATTGTCTGGTTTATAGATTTCTGTGAGCGTATTTAGTGTTGTTTTACACAGTGTTTTGACAAGCTTGGAAAATGTTGCTGGGATTAAAGGAAAGCGTTGACTCTGTCTACAAAGGAGAGAAAGAGATGAAGAGCTGAACACTCAATTTTCAAGAATAACTAAATCACTGCTTGGGGAGTTCTGGGGCACACAACTCCAGACACACTTTTTGAAAGGCATGATTTCAACAGGCTTTGCACTGTCCTAACTGCATAAAATAAAATCTGGTGCAGATGCATGTTTCTGATATATGATGGTAGTATGACAGATCTGCCTGTCCATATTCTGCTTTCTCTGATTTCTGAGATAATTTATTGTGCACCCTACAGCCACAGCAAAGATGGGACACCTAAATATGGGTGTAAAGGGGAAAACTGGGTAATTATGTACATCTATTCACCGCGTCAGGATGGAGGGAAATCTTTGCTCAACAATCTGCTGAGTTCAAGTAGCAAAGGTGATTTGTGTTCCTAAAGGGTTAATCGTGACTTAAAAATACCCATATTGACAGGAACTGGGGGATAAATGTCATTGGAACTTCTTGTTTTTTTAATACACCTTAAGAAATTAAACAAAGCAAATGCATTTGGTGGCGCCCTCAGGAAAAGTCCAGTCACTTCCTGACCAGTAATCTGCCTGGGAGCAGCAGATAGATTCTCATTGTTTGCCATTTCCAGTTTCCAGTAATGGGAACGATTACTTGATCCAGCCAGTTGCTGTGGAGGACCCTGGGATAACTTACAAACCTTCATGGCAAATTTTTATCGGCTCCCATAAAAACGCCACCGGATAAAAGAGCCAGAACGTGGGGTTTGGTACCTGGAGGCGTCACCTCTGATGATGAATATTGTTTGATTTGGGGGGTTGAGTGTCTGTCCTTCAGGAACGAGATGTATCTTGCTCTTCTGGTGATTTTCTTGCAGTGTAAGTTTGGTAACTGAAACTCTGCTGGTTTTGGTTTGTCTGGGGAGGGGGGTTTGGGGAGGTTTTTTTAACAGTTTCACGTTGCTGTCTCTCAATCTGCAAGCTTTGAAAACAACATTTCTTTTTTTTTCTTTTCCCCAGGTTCAGAACTTTACACTCAGGATAAAGGTAGGGAATTATAATTTTGGTGTGGGTTTGGTTTTTTTTTTTTCACATGCAAATTTAAAATAAGTAATTTAACTAATTCCTCTGTTGTTGGTGTGCATTTGTAACAGAGTTTATTTGGATTTGCTGTCTGATATCTCAGTATGAAATTTGGCCATATGAAAAAGAAAAGGTATTGCTTGGTGGTGTTTCTTGGTACAGTGTTTAAATGAGGGATGTGCTGCTCTATCTTAGTGAATGTTCTGGTGAAATCTTTCCTGGAGTAATTTGCTTTCCAGAGGCACGAAAGACGTGGGAGAGAAAATCAGAATTTGGTTTTTTGGTATTTAAAAAAGCCTCTCGTGCCCAAGGAGGGAGGATAAAATTACAGAATATAAATTAAGGGCACTTTCTCCTGCTCTTGCCAGGGAATTGGTCAATTGAGCAGAGCTCAGAACTCGTGTTCTAAAGGAACTCTTTAACCTTTTCATCTCGCTGACTCCCAGCACGTACACTCCTCCTGCTTCCCTTTTTCCATCACCAGGGACAAAGCTTTGCTTCTTCTTGTCATGTGCTTTATTCACATGCAAAAAAAATGACAATTTTTGCACTGGTTTTATGCCCAAAACTCTCTCTAGAGAGGGCACATTATATAAGAGCTGGTGAAGGGCTTCTTTAGATGCAGGAAAGTTTTCCTCTTCTAGTAGCAAATTTATAAAGTAAATCCTGAGCAAAACGGGCATAACCCAAAAAAGAGTAAGTTCTAAAGGAAGGGAAAATGAATGAACTAATAGATCTTTTCTCTCTGCTTGTTCTTCCAGCTGTGTGAGTAAAAATATTAATTATACCAAGATTATAACATTTACAACATTTAAGCTACAAGTTGTTTATCATTGCTGTGGTTATAAACAGATTATATTTCTCTACACATACACATGTATATATAAATACTATCATGAACTTTGTTTCTAAATATGATTATTATTTTTGTATATAAATTACTTTGTGTATAAATTACAACATTCCTGTCAAGTAAAATGTCAAATTTTGTAATTAATTTTTGTGATTAAAATGTAGCGACTTGAGATAGCAGTGTCGTGTTTGAAGTAAATAAATGTAACATTTTTTTTTTTTCCCCCCCCTCTATCAAGTTTTTACTTTCAACACAGTTGAAATCAAGGTTCAGCCATCTGTCAAAGTGAGGAATGGAGCTGCCATGTCGATCATCTGCCACGCTGACATCAGCAAAAGCGCCGATTTCCAGCTGAAATACAATTTCACGATCTTTAAGGACCGCAAGCTCGTGTTCATGACCGTGGCAGACACGGGAGAGGCACGGTATGAGATCCCCGTGGCCAGATCCTCAGACACGGGGGACTATCAGTGCACGGTGAGAGCGGAGAAGAAGACACGGTCCAGTGACCCCGTCCACGTTTGGGTGGCAGGTGAGTGCTCTTTCAAACATGGAAAAAAACCAAACCCCAACCTTCCAGGGGAAGTAATAATGGTCAGTGCTCAGTAGGATATCTTGGAAAGGGATTTTTATCCATTTTATCCATTTTATCCACAGCACTTCACGAGAGTTTAGTACTAAAGCCTCGTGGACTCGTGATCCCAGGGTGACATCAGTGACAGTCAGGAGCAGTCTGTGCCCCCTGTGCCACCTTCCCCGCTGCCCTGAGCCTCTGTGCCCTAGCCTAGAGGAAATATTAGCTGTGAAAGCTTGTGCCCATTCCCAGAAATGTGATGGAGGGTGGGTAGATTCCTGGAAATGCTGGGAATAAGGTACAGAGATGCTCAGCCTGTGGCAGCCACAGCCAAAGGAGTGTCAGCTCTGCTTGTTGTATCAGTTTTGTTCTTCCATCTCTGGTGAGAACAGGGGCCATCTCCATCCATGCTCTTTCTAGCCGTGTATTCTTGACTGCAAGTGACATTTTTCCCCTTGGAAAAGCAATTTGGAAAGAATTTGTTCAGCATTAAGTAGGTACTGGGTGGTCTTCAAAAGCTTGGTTCCTGCAAAGTGTTTGCATCTGTTAATGAGCATAAATCATTACCACAGTCACCAGAGATAGAATTTCTTTCAGGATTATGCATATTCTGTTTTCTTTCCTTGCCTTCTGGTGTAAGGAATGACCAAGCCAATCCTGACTGCTGACAAGAGAGATGTTTTGGAGGGCGAAGTTGTGAAGTTACGTTGTGAGCTGCCCGAAGAAGAACCTCCTTTACTGTTCTGCTTCCGGAAGATAAAGACGAATTCAACGCCCAAAGAGAGATGTGTACCTGAGTCTTACACCAATTTCTCTGAACTGGAGGTTTCTGTTGAAGAAGGAGATCATATTTTACAGTTTGACTGCTTTGGTAGGAGGAATGTAAAGCTTGAATGGGAAGAGTCAGCCCGGAGCAACAGAACCCTCGTTACGGTCAGGGGTAAGTTGCTTGGCTTTTCTTTGGACATTTGTTTGCTTACTGCAGTTAAAATCGGGCCAGGCCTTTCTATCTGTATGTGTTCATCTGCATGTTTATGTGTATCCTCTTGCAGAACCTTTTATAAAGCCCACTCTGACCACTGTGCCCTCCAGTAATGTCACAGAAGGAGACCAAATACAGTTTGAGTGCTCAACTGCCGTGGTTCGAATGCGGGACCTGGAGATCATCCTCCAGAAAAACAAAACAATCCTGAACAGTGTCCAAGATAAGAAGCTTCTGAGATACTCCACAGTAGCTACTCTAGAGGACAGTGGGGAATATCTGTGTAAGGTGGAGCAAGGGGGAGCATCTAAAACCACCAAACTGAACGTTGTTGTGTCAGGTAAAACCTCTGTTCGTCTCAGACTTGACTCAATGTATTGATATTTAAATTTGAATTTGCTAGAACCCAAGACCCAAGTGTAACCTCCAGATCCGAGGGTAAATTTTCTCGAAGTTAAAGGCTAAAATAATATCCTCAAATAACACATGAAAAGTGGTTTCAAGTGGTTGCTGAGTTTCTGTTTTCCTTGAAAATATAATAATATTAAAACAACGTGGTTTTTTCGTTCCCGGATTATAAACTTTCCGTATGTCCTTCATTCTGTATGTGTTAAATAGTCCTATTCTTTCAGGCTCAATTGGAATGAATTAGTTCTCTTTTTATCTTGCAGAGTTATTCCCCAAGCCAACACTGATTGCCTCTATGACTAAGCTGGATAAGAATAAAGAGTTAATTTTGAATTGCAGCATTAATGGTTTTCAGAAAGCGAACTTCTCTATCCTACGGAAAAATTCCAACGGAGACATCCCACTGAAAAGTTCTCAGAGCTTAAAAATGAGAGTTAATGTGAATGATACTGGCTCTTACACCTGCAAAGCTGAAGTAAAAGGAATAGTCAAGGAGAGCAGACCTGTAAGGATTAATGTTTATGGTGAGTTGATACAGAATCAGCCTCTGGTCCATGACCTCGCAGGGTGTCTCTCAGTTCTTGCAATATTCATTTCTGTGAGGTGTGCTCGTCATCTTCCTCTGGAGAGGATTTGGTGTGTCACGATCCAATCCAGTCAGGCTTTTCCAGGGCTGGCCCTGGAGAGAAGGGAGCTGGAATGGCCTCCTGCTGCTCCCTTGGCTCTGCTGGGTGCCAGGTAAATTCATTCATTACCATTTGCAGGAGCCAGAACTGTTCTGCAGATCTCTCACTCCTCAGTTTGAGCTGAAACTCTGACAGTGTCTGCCTTGAATCCTTCTCCCTGACTCTCCAGGCAGAAACCAGGAGAACCAGAGGTCATCTGGTTAGCTCTGCTCCACAAAAGCTGATTAGCAGCACTCTGGTCCCTTCCCTCTCATGGAACGAGCTCAGGTGGCTCTCCAGTCTGGGAGGGGATGAAGTGGGTTGTGACTCTGATTAGGTGCTGCACGGTCCATCTCAGCTCATACCTGCAATGTGACACTCGGTCCGTGGGTCAGGATTAGTTCTGCAGTTTGGGTGATCCCCAGCTGTGTCACTCATCCTTTGTCTCCCTTCCCATTCTCCCTGCATGCTGTTTAATTCAAAGCCACATTTTCCATTACCTGCATCATTGACTTGGTCAAGTCCCCCCATTTCTATTCTATCGACGGGGAAGAGCTTCCCAATAAAACGTGTGCAAACTAGATAAAACTTGTGTATTTAAATACTTCCTATGAAATAATATTGTGTCTTTTGCCCTTCTGCAGTGCAATTTTCAACAATGTTTTCCTTTTTATTCCCCTTTCAGCCCCAGTTTCCAAGCCAACTCTTTCCGTTGCCGGGGGTTTGCCGGAGGTGGTGCTGGGGAAGCCCCTGCAGCTGATCTGCCACTCGGTGATGGGGACGCCCCCCAAAACCTTCAGGTTCTACAAAGGGAATGAAGTAGAGAAAACAGTCATTAATGACACGTATGCTACGTTCTTGGATGAAAATATTAGGCTGGATGACGGGAGGGGTTACAGATGTGACGCTCGAAATAACCACTCCAGCGGTGTGAAAAGCAGCGACATCCTGAACGTCACGGTAATTGGTGAGTCTGCTCAATTCTTCTTCTTCTTCTTCTGGTCTGATGTCACATTTAGAGTTTTGAAACTCTGGCAGCAAATGATGGACTAAGCAAAATGGATGGGAAATGTTTCCCAACTGTTGCTCACTTGAATTAAAAATGGTTGCTGGTCACAGCACACAAGTCCAGGAGCAGAGCAGGTCTGTTCTTGACCTTTCAAAAAGAAGAGGTAATTTCTCTCTGCTAAGGAGTTTTCAGTTTTGTATCCTGGCTGGAACCCAGATTGTGTGGGTTTTAAAAAGATAAACTTGTGGTTGATAGGCTGGTTTCCCTCTGAGTTTGGACATGGAGTTGTGTGTGATTTGAACAGATACATCCAGAATGGTTGGGTTTATTCTGGATTATTGCACAGTGAAGGATGTGCTCCCCATTCACTGAGCTCCCAAAAAGGGCTTTTAATACAGTACTGGCACTCACACACACTATGGCAGCAGGACTCACCTGAAGTTCATCAGCTCCACCATTTACTGACTCTAGAGAGGAGCTGAGTGATAAAAACTCTGAAGAGATTTATCCAGGGAGATTTAAAGTCAAGGTGGTTTGAAATAACAAGGTACAAATACACAAAGTATAATCTTAATCCATCAACAAGTGGGTGTTTCTCTGCTGGAACTGGTGTATCCCAGCTGTTAGAGCTGTGGTTCAGGATTTATTGTGGCACTGGTTGGAAGTTCTGAATAGAGTCATGTTTTGGTGGCTTTGAATTCTCTGTATTCTGTGCTTTCTGTCTGTACTAGATCTGGAAAAGCACTTTTTTTCCAGAGCAATCCACTCTATCATAGGCTCAGTCTGTCATAGGAACCCATCCATGTCATATCTGAATCTGCTCCCTAATACAAAACGAACTTTCCTGATCAGCATCTTTCCATATTAGGTCTGGTTTCCTCCTTCTGCTTCTGTGCCAGTGTGGCCTTAACTATTCCTTCTTTGCATCTGCCTTGTGTTACCCATGGCAGTGCCCCAAACACAATTCCAATATTTCCAGAGACATTTTCAGTAGGGATTTTAGCAAAGCAGATGCTTCATCTGCCAAACATTTTGCAAAGCTGCTGACATTCCACGAGCCTCGAGTCACACAATGTGTGTCCATTTTCCCCCCATGTGGTTCCAAGGGCTGATGCTCATCTGCTCCTACACTAAAATACCTTAATTTGTAAACTAGCAGTCTTAAAAAAACCTGTATTTTGCGTGTGCACATTCTTCCAGCTTGTGCAAATGCAAACTGACTTCCCTCACTGTGTTTGCCATATTCTGTAAAACCACTGGAATTTGGGACTGGCTTGGAAAACTCGATCCATTATCTGCTGATACCCACTATTGTGTATTAAAGGTTACAAGAATACAGTCACCACACAGTTAGCATAAAATAGCACAACTCTACATAACTATGAAAGCACAGCTACATAAACTGGACCATCATTATTTGCACTATTGGACAGCTGAGTGTGTTATTTCTGGAAATGAAATAGTTTGTAGGCTGGGGCTGGAGTGGCATCTGAAGGATTTTAAGGAAAGTGACTGACTGCCCCCTGGGGAATGGATATAATTTCCTCCTGTGCCTGCTTTGTTTCTTTGTCGTGCCCTCTCTATTTCTGGGTGTATCAAAATATTTACCAGGGGATGGTGTCTGTCAGAGGGTGTTTGGGAGGATTAACACTGTGCATTCAGTCTCTGTTTAACCAAGCATTAAAGCAAGCACAATATTTTAGCATCAAAGTTCCTCCCAACAGTGCTAATATTTGCTTTCTCTGTGCCTTGCTCTGCAGTGCCAGTCAGGGATGCCAGCCTGGGCAGTGTCCCATACGGAGAAGTGGAAGATGGCAGCGAGACCGCTTTTCTCTGCTCGGTCAAAGAAGGCTCTTGGCCAATCCTGTTCAGGTTTTTTAAAAAAACTGACCGTGAGGTTCTCCTGTTCGAGAAAGTGGAGCATGCAGACAGAGCCATGTGGCACAAGAAGACGATGAAGAGGCAGGACACGGGGACATATTATTGTGTGGCCTCCAACAGAGCCAACGTGGACGTGAGGAGCCGCCCCATCACCATCAGTGGTGAGTGGTTAATCTGCCCCCCCATCCTCCTGGCAGGTGGGCTCCTCTCACCTGGGCTGTTCCTGAGTGTAGCTCCCTGACTTGCTTTTGTTCACCCTTGTCAGGAGTTGAACAGAGAGATCTCTTTCTAAAAACAGAGGAAAGTTTGAGGATGCTCAAAAGCCAAAGGGGCAGATGCAAACTGAAAGCAAGCCATGGTTGTGCTGAGGTTTTGGTCACTAGTGGAGGCTCACTGGTGAACTTTGCATGCAAGGCCCCTCAGAGTTCTTCCCTGGGGTGTAAGAAGGCGGATTTGTAGTAAAATGAAAGGTCAGGAACTGGTAATGTTGGCCTGTCACAGTAAATACTCTCTTAAACATGTTTTTCTTACTTCCAGTCATTTTGGCAGCTTGGAAGAAAGGAGTCATCGCTGCCCTGGTCCTGGTCACCGTTGCAGGAGCAGCAGCACTTGCCCTGTGGTGGTTTTTGCGCAAGAAGAAAAAGGGTAAGGAGTGGTTCCCTTCTCCCTTTGGTGACAGATGTATTCCAGTTAAACCTGCATTTGTGTTGGAAGCAAAGGGTTGTGAGGGAGACTGAACACAATTAAAAAAAACTAAAAATATGCTTAGAAATGCCAGGTGACCCAAATTAAGCTGCAAGTGTGCTGAGGCTTTTCAGGTACGTTGGGCAGATGCAGTCCTAGGTGTGGATCAGTCAGTGCAGTGAAGAGGCAGACAGGGCCTGAGGAGGCTTTTGATCCCTCACAGAGCTATAACAATTTGATTTGGGGTCCCAGCCCAGGTGTTACTGAGGTGCTTCTCTGGTCCTCATGAGATAAATTTAGATTATTAGGTTGTGGAATTGTTTATTTTTCCTCCCCATACTGTAATATGATTTTGTTTAGGGATTTGTCTTTTATCATTAAGGTATTTTTTCAGACCTTGTTCTTTCAGAATATAAATAAATCTGGTTTATCCCGTGATATGCAGTACATTGCAAATTATTTGGGAAAATTTGAAGCATCTGGATGTCCCAGACTGCTTAAATTGGCCAAGGCAAAATCTTGGATCTTTTAGGTTTAGGATCTTAGGTTCTCTGAAGGAAACATTAATTTTATGATTGCCAGGAGAAATTATTTTTACATGATTAAATAATTGTTATATCTTTGTTTTGTTTTGATGTTTACTTTTAAATCCTTTACTTGTGCAATCCACTAATAGATGCCTTTTTTTTTTTCCCTCTGTCAAGCTAAAGGACCGTCCATGGAGATGTCTGGGTAAGATGTCTTGCTGTCTTGGTTTCGGCTGGGATAGAGTTAATTTTCTCCTTAGTAGCTGGTACAGTGCTGAGTTTTGGATTTACTGGGAGAATAACGTTGCTAACACTGATGTTTTAGCTGTCAGTGCTTACTTTAACTCCAGGACGTTTCAGTTTGCCATGCTCTGCCCACCAGCAGGGGCACAAGCATGGCCAGGACTGCTGACCCAAACTGGCCAAAGGGACATTGAGCATCATGGCCAGTGTAGAAACTTGGGGGGGAATTGTCTGGGGGACACTGCTCAGTGCTGGGGGCCGGGCATCGGGCACAGGGTGGGCACCAATTGTACTGGGCATCACTTGTTGCTCTTGCGGTTTATTCCTCTCTCTCTTCCTTTATAATAGTTATTATTATTATTGTGGTTATTGTTGTCCTTATTATTATATTTTACTTTATTTCAATCATTAAACTGTTCTTATCTCAACCCATGGGTTTTACCTTTTTCCAGTGCTCCTCCCCGTGCCACTGGGGCGGGGTGGGCTGGGGCAGAGCGAGTCAGGTGCTGTGCGCTGCTTCCTTGCCAGCTGGGCTTAAACCATGACAGTCGTTTTTGGAGCTCAGAGTGGGACTCTCAGAGTTAAACCCAGATCTGACCTGTGCACGTTGGAACAGATTTGTTCCAAGCATTCATCAGTTTAACAGCCAGCTGTCATGATGTGGTTGATCTTAGAGTTGTTGTGCTTGTTCTCGGAGCTGGGTGTAAACACCTCGCTTGCCCTTGGAGGGAACGCTGCCCTCCCTGTTGTGTTTCTTGCCACTGGGGGCTGGGCTGAGGTTGTTGTTTTGTTCTGCTTTGTGACCCTCATTTACGATGCGATGGAATCGCTGGTGATGGCTCACCTGGCCGTGTCCTCAGCGCCGCTGTCACCTGTGTACTGGGGAGACACCTATTGGGAATCCCCCATAATTACACCTGGTCCCTTTGTCCTCGGAGAGCCAGCCCATGGACACAGCTTCCCACAGCTTCCCTTTCTTCTCCAGGCCAGTTGCAAAAGTGCTTGAGAGCTCTGAAGATTTTGAATCGACTTGGGGTGTTGGAACCACCGTGGTCCTACTGGTAGGAACCAGTGTGTTGCTGAGAGTGGGGTTCAGATTTGTTTAGGGTTAGGCAATTATTTGCAGCCTCTGCAACCCCCATGACTGGCACTGGGGCTGCTCCAACTCCCACAACAAGCACAGTGGCCACGACAGACACTGGGGCTGCTCAATCCCTGGCTACTCAAAGCCTGTGACAACTCACCCCACCGATGGGTGCAGCTGAATCAAAGGACCAGCCCCTGTGTGTCTGTTGCCCCTGTTCACAAGGAGAAATGGGCAGGAAAGACAGCTGGTTTAATAAAGGAGGATGAAGCAAGGCCACAACAGGAACAGGAGGAAGAGGCAGAACAAGAGACAACCTCTCAATCCCCATCCCTGAGTGAGCGGTGGGATGTGCAGGAAGATTTCAACCATCATCCAGGTGAGCACGTTATTCCCTGACTGCTCTGATGCTGGGATAATGGGAATAGTGGTGTGGAATTAGAGGATAGGGAAGCCAAGCAGCTGGGATCATTTTCTAGGGAAGGGTGCATTGATGAGTTCATTGGAAGAGCAACACAAGTCCTCAACCTCTGGAGGCAACTCTTGTCAAGTGTGAAGGACAGGTATCCCTTCAAGGAGGATGTTCTGTGTCACCCAGGCAAGTGGACCATGATGGAGAGAGGTGCCCAGTACCTGAGGGAATTACAGATAACTTATGACCCAGGCAACACAAGGTTACTCAGAGATCCAGGTGAAGTCTGATGTGCACAAACCACGTGTCAGAAACTTGTCCAGAGTGCACCCTTGTCGTGCACCAACTCACTGGCAGTGATGGCCTGGAGAGACAAAGAGGCACCACTGGTGGATGAAGTGGCTTCACCAACCCAGCAGTACAGAGAAAATCTCTCTTCCTCTCTTGCCTGTGCTGTGGAGAAGCTGGTTGAGCAACTCAAAGTGGGTAGATTGTACCCCCACATGTACAGGCCAGCATCTCAGCTATTGACAGTAAGTGGTTTCTTTCTCCAGACAGAGGATGCAGAGGGTTCACACCACAGGGGACCCTGTGGTTTTACCTGTGAGCACCCCAGAGAGGACATGAGGAAAAGGGATGGAAATTCTCCCTGCACCCTAGAGGGTACATGGACTGCCAGGGAAGATCACAAATGGGGGTTCCTCCAGGAAAGTTGCTGCTCCGATCTGCAATGGGCAGCTCCTCGGGGTGGAAGGGCTGAGCTTACTCCTGACTCTATGGAAAGGAATTCTCACCTGTTTTTACAAGCAGCAAGTGGATAATCCTATGGCCAGGATTAGAGGGGCTCTGCCTCCAGCCAGGTGGAGAAGAGAGACAGCCTTGTTTATTGGAGCATGTGGATCAGATGCCTGGAATGTCAACCCCCCAGGACTGGGAGGCTCTAGTAGGTCCTGGGGCACGCTGTGCCCTGATGCCATCAGGCTGTACAGGGACACAACCCAGTTGTATTTCTGGAGAGGGACCCAGCAGACTGTACTGGGGGCTGAAATCAGCCTGGCTGGCCAGGTGTGGCAGAAGCCTCCAATTTGAGTAGCCCAGAGGCTCCAGGGGCTTTAACTCTCAGGAGAGAGGATTGCAAGGAGCCAGAGGAGTTGTGGTGGGCTGTCAGTGCAGCAGCCTTGGAGACTGAGGACATGAAGTGGCTCCCCTGTCCCATCTATCAGAGGACCTTCCTGCTGTGGGGCTGCTGAAGGTTGAAGGACAGCAGGTGCTGAGTGCTGGAGGTTGAAGGACAGCAGGTGCCGAGCGCTGGAGGTTGAAGGACAGCAGGTGCCGAGCACTGGAGGTTGAAGGACAGCAGGTGCCGAGCACTGTCCCAACGACCCAGCCGGGAGGTGCCGTCGCTGCTCAGGGACTGGCTGGGCATCACTTGTTGTTCTTGGGTTTCATTCCTCTCTCCTTCCTTTTCATTGCTATTATTATTATTGTTATTATTATTAACTTTATTTCAACCACTGAACTGTTCTCATCTCAGCCCCTGGGTTTTACCTTTTCCAGTCCTCCTCCCCACCCCACAGGCAGGGGAGGGGGGTGAGGAGCAGCCGTGGGATATTGGGCTGCCCTCTGGGATTAAACCACGACCCTTTAGGATAATGATGGAGTATTCCTGTTGAAAGGCCTGACTGTAGTTTATTATGGCCCACACCTGCAGACAATAGATGGTTCTGCTTCATGTACCACCTGCTTACACAACAACAGGATGAGGAAATGCTCTAAAAATAGAAAAAAAGGCCAGCTAAGTGACATAGAAGAATGTCAGGCCTGTATTTGAATGCATTTAGATATGGAATGGATTGAAAATACAGAGGTCTTAAAGAAGAATAATGCAATACGGAACATTTTTTACCTTAGATTTGGCTGGTGCTTCTGAAGAGAAAGGCACAATCTTCCTCAGCTGCAGTAGTTCAGAACAGGTGGCAGTCAGCATGGACAGTGACTGATCTTTGCCCAGGATCATGTTATTGGCTGATTGGGGATCACTGCAGCAACTTTTGTGGGTTTGTTTTTCAGCTCAGCCTTGGCTGCAAACTTGACAAATGAAAAGCTGACGAGACAGCCCAGCGATGGGGACTATTATCCAGGTAGGACATTCTGCTGTAAGACTGGTAATAAATGGGCTGAATTCAACATTTATGGAAAGTTTTGGACTTGCATAGCTGTTGTTTGTCAGGGCCCAGTTTTTGGGGGAATACAGAGGGATGCCAGTAACATTCTCCAAAGTGCCTTCTGTCATTTTGTCTCTGTACAGTTTTTATGAGCACGTCTCACACAAAGATTGGTTTCTAACTCTGCTCAGACACTTCTCCCAGGCAATCAATTGACAGTGTTACAGATGGAGAAATCATGGTAAAAGAAAATTACTTTCTGGGTTTGACACAGCTGCAAGAAAATTACTGCAGAGAGGAACACTTGAGTCGTGGCTCGTGGTCCTGTGAGGTGGCCACGGGACAGAGGTGTTAACTTTTCATTCCAGGATCTCAAAATTCCCACTTTACAAAAATAGCTGGACATGTTGTTTAGAGTATTGGACATAAACAAAAATTACCCCTTGGGTGTTTTTTGTTTAGCTGATTATTTAAAAAGCCCCATTCTTCCCAGCTGTGTTACTGGAATGTCTTAGGTGTGACACCAAAAGTAGAATGGCTCATAGAAAAATGCAGATAATGGCAGGAGGAATTGCAGCTGTGTAACTCATGTATTTAATTGGCTGTAATAAACATTTTTGTCAGCTCAACTTTGGCTTTAATATTTTAGGATCAGGTTACATTGAAGATAGTGAAAATCACATGAAATCAGCAGATGAGAGTAAAGGTAATTTCATACTTAAACAATAGAGTTTTAAAGTATTTTATAACTGAAAGTCACGATGTTTTTCTAATGGTAGCAACAAGGCTGGGATAGGTCCAGCCCTTTCCTTTTTCTCTTTGATAATGGGGAAGATTTTCCTTTGCTGAGCTCAGTTCCTTTTCTTATGCACAAAATGATGGTGATAGGACCCATTTGCCAACTGCCTTATGAGGTGTAATTAGCTGTGCTGGATTGGGATAAAAATACAACTTAGGCTCAAAACTGTCAGTTCTATATAACAAATATCCAGGTATTTTCTGCTTCTTTTACTTCTCTGTCCTGTCTTCCTTTTAGTTGACCTTGAAATTACTTAAGCCTTAAATCTAAAAAATAAACTGCTATGAAATCTGAATTAAAAAAAAATCTGACAAATCAGTTCTGCAGGATGCCAGTCTGGATGGCTGTTGAGGTTTCTTCCAACTCTTACAGAAATCTGGTGGAAAACCATCTGCACTCTAAGAAAAAGCCAGAGTAGAAGGGAGCAGCTGTTGCTTGTGTCTGTTGTATCCAGAAAAGCAGAGATGTGGAGAATGAGGGAGGCTGTGAAAGAGTTAAAGATGGCTTTGAATGTGAGGAAAGCAGAGGATGGGAAGTGTCTGTCATAGCCATAGAAAACAAGGAGAAAGTTAAGGGCAGGGAGAGAAATAAAGAGGAACTGGGCTGGAATACAGTGACAGTCTGTGATAATTCCATGCTCCATTTGTGTTGTGACACTTTGGAAGGTGTTACATGGAAAGTAAGGGTTTTAGGTACAATTTGCACGTCCCACAGTTTCAGAAATCTGCCTTTAGTTGGGCTGCTGCCCTTTGGGTTGGGATGACCCTTAGGAATGGGTTGGCCTTCCAGCTCTTAGCAGAGGAACTACCATCTGTAAGTAGGGCCTGATCCTGCACCTCCCAAAGTCAGTGAGGACTTGTCCCTTAATTCCAGCGGCAGCAGGATCAGGCCCACAGCTCAAACAAAGCCTGCAGTCCTACAAAGAAACATCTTCTTGGTATTTTTGGGGCAGGACCTGACCTTGAGAGTGCTGAGGTGGAGTACACTGAAGTGGAAGTGTCAACGCTCGATCCTCACAGAGGTAAATGAACTCTCCAAAGCTCTTTGGTCTCTGTTTGGGAGCAGCTCTGGGAATGTTGCTCCTCCCCTGGCACTGGTGTTGTCAGAGCAGGTTGTGCTTTGTGTGTGTGAATGTCCCTGTCCCAGAGAGCTGTGGCAGGTGAGCCACAGATGATGGAGACACCAGAGAGCAGTGGAATTTCCTTTTTAAAGGAACTGGTTGAAGGGTCAGAGCTGTAATTAACGTGTGATAGAGAAGGAAGAGAGACCAGCACAGATTTAGCCTCTCAGTCTGGAGAGGCCTGGAGAGCATCCTGAATGTTGTGTCCCCTTAAACAGAGGAATGAGGGTATTAATGCCCAGATGACTTTGTCCTCCTCCCTGTCAGTCCTGTGTGGGAGCAGTAACCAGCCCTCAGGGACCTTTCTCTGCAACCTTGGAGGAGAAAGAGCCAAATGCACACTGCAGGCATTCTGTGTCATCTGCAGAGCTCTGATACTGTTGTGGCCTTGTGTGGAAAGCTGTGAAACCTCAAAGTTCCAAGTAGCTGGGAGTGAATAAACTCCAGGTTTATGCTCTGCTCCAGCTTCTTTGCTTCAGCTGAGTGAGAAACAGACTGAGGAAGAAACAGATAAATTTCCTTTTTCCTGGTAGGAAGGACTAGTCACTTATTTCAGAGACCAAAGACATGATTGTTTAGTTGGTAAAACAGATGTTTGGGCAAAAGTGCTCACCCTTCAAGCCCTGCAGGAACAGCCAGTCCTCCTCTCCTTTCTCTGTTTCCCTTCCTGGCATCATTCATCAGAGTTTTCCCTGTGTCCTAAGCGTGCTATTTATCCCCCTCTGCTAAATTCTGCTCTGAAGAACCACAGTTGTTGGACTCTTTTTCAGAATAGGGCTAATAATTAGTACTTCCAAATGTGTTTGAGTGTGCATGATTATTTAAGTTAAAAGCCCTGTTAAATGCAAGATCAGCATCTCTAAAAATAGACTTTTGCTCCTGTTATTTATATATAACACTATTCCTGGATTTTCAGACTGAGTTATAAGATAGTATCTGTGATCTGTAGACTGAACACTGTTAAACCACAAAATAATATTTAATATGCCGTGTAAATGAGCTCAGATTATTTTAACAGAACACTGATTGATTCTGTAAGACTGAATCGTGCTTCAGGTGTGCAGAGATGTGATAACAGTTCCCTAATCAATTTGCTTTGTTGCCCCAGGGCACAGTTAAAGGCTTCCCAAACGAATGCTTTGGTTCTGTAAATGGCAACTGCACTGCAAGTATTTAATGTGGTAATCTCTGAGAGCATCTCGAGGATGCTGCTTGAATAGAAGGAGTTCCACGAAGCCACGTTAATTCTTTCAGCTCTGCACTGCCTATCACAATGAAAACAGGATGAGATTTATTCTTGGGAAAAGAGAAACAAAGCCAAGTTTCTTAATATTCCCTCGTAATAATCATGTACACCCACAGAGGGAATTTGGCCACTGATATTTCTGCTACGTAGTGTTATTGTAAGGTTTGGTTTCAAACCATGATATTCTGTCCTGTCTGTGGGTATGACCAGCCCTTCCTAGGGAACAGACCTTTCAGATTGTCCCCTTGCTCCAAACCCCTCTTACAGCCCTTTTGATCCCTGCTGTTTTCTGAATGAAGGCAAAGCAGATCCCACCTTTTCTCTGGGCACTCCCATCTCATCCAGCAGCTGCACAGAGAGTCTGATCCTTCTGCCTTCTGAGGAGCTCCAGACTGCTTTGATCTCTCAGGACTAACCCCAGATTAATTTATCTTCCCAGTCATTTGTTCCTCCTGCCCCTGTTGTCGATGTCAGTGCTGATGTTCATCTCAGGAACAGGAGAATCATATTTTGTGCATTTTGAAAGACTCCTGCAATAAATGCTGCAGCATCTGAGCTGTAACTCCAGCCTTTATGTCACTTCTGGGAAGCAGGAACGATTGAGTGTCACCTCAAAACAAGTTTAAATTATTGTAGAACATATCTGAGGTAGAGCTGGGGCTGCACAGTCCAGCTCTTCTTTGGGGCAGTCAGAGTGGAATGGTAATTTGATATTTAAAGAGGTGGCAATCCTGAGGAGTGATTAAATTGAATGCTTCTGGAGATGATATGCCTGACAAAAATATTGTGCTTGTCTTCTCTAAAGCTTGGTTGTGCAAATAGATGGAAAAGGTGATTTAGACCCCTTATTATTAACCTGAGCAAAACCAAAGGCTGGGGCTAAAGTAAGATTAGGAAATATCTCTGAAGTGAGAAGGGAAAAACCTCTAATCATGGCTGAGTTAGAACATGCTCCTTCTTCTCCTTTTATATCTGATTAGTTATCTGCAGGGTGGCAACATTATAAAGCTGGTGGGAACAGAATGTCAAATAATCCACGTCGTTTCTCCTGGCACATTTTTTCAGCGCTGAGGCGACTTCTGGAAGATTAACAAAGGAAATAACATGGGCAGTGGCATTACAGCACAATTCAGTTAAATGGGGCTGGGAAAAAAAAAAAGGCAAGCTGAGGAAATGCCTCCAACCAAATCTTTCCACAGAGTCAGAAGGAGTAGATTTAGGGCTGTAATCTGCTAAAAAAAGGAGTCCCCAAACAAAATGAGCTACCTCTTATTAAAATTCTGACGAGATAGCTCCTTACTTCGCTGCAAATGAATGGATCATTTAAGCAGTAGCCCACGAGCACATGAAATGGGCCTGAAGGTCTTTCAGATTATCTTGCAAAGAGGGTTCCTGCCAAAGCTGGGAGTTTGAAAGCTGTGGTCAGCCACGTGGGGAAGTGGAACTCCTCCTGGCGTTGGAATTACCGGCAGTTTTGCAGCCCAGCTCTGATGGGTGAGCTCCCAGCTTTTAAAGGATGCTGAACAGAATTTTAAAAACATGAAATGGGCTTTGGGAAATCAGAAAGTGGTGCCAGAGACACTTGGGTTCTTCAGAGTGATGCAGAACAGTAACAGTCCTGACTCTGAGTCTGACTGCAGATCATTGTCTGAATTCTTGAAGTGTTTTGGGTGTTTTTTAATAATCCTGAAGTACAGGGTTCTATATCCAGAATGTGAATTTTCTTTCCAGTTTCTTGCAGAGAGAGAACAACCACTTTTTTTTCCTTTAACTGGCAAAAATCCCTAACCTCTTGTTTTGTTGAAGGTGCCCAGAAATTGGAGGTGATAGAGATAGAATTCAGACTCAGTTTAACTGAAATGAATGAGTGTTTCTGAAACACTTTGAGATCGATGAACAGCAAGCTACTGGACCCTGCCAGCACAGGCCTTTGTAGCAAATGAAGAAAGTGGCTTTAAATGCACTTTGGTTGCCCAGGGATTTTTAAGCTACAGCCGTGCAATAAATCCAGGAAATTGTTCTGATCTCCCACCCTCCAGCAGTTTCTGCTGAGCAGACACAACCTGAGTTCTGGCTGTTTTCAGGCCTTCAGACAAAGCTCTGCCTCCTCCCTGTGTGTGTCCCTAGTTTGGTACCAAACCCCATGGATAAGTTCTCACAGATGTCAGGAGAAAAGGCAGAGCTGCTTGTTTTCCTTCTCACCCCAGAGCAGAGTTTTATTTGCCAGCCTGAGGCTCTGGAAGGACTAACATCACACTTGTACCCCCAGCTGTGTCCTTGGAGGCACAAACCTTCTCTGCCTGCTTCTTGTTTTCCTTTACTTCCACTCTTTCCACGAGCCTTGTGAGCCTCCACTCCTGCTGTGCCCACCTGAGCTCAGTGCTGATGGAAGGGTCCCCCACACTGAGGGGACACCTTGCCCAGGTAACCCTGAACAGCAGTGGGAAATCTGGAAATGCCCTTCTGAGACACCTCCCAAACAGCAATTTAGTATTTTGTGCCCGTGAGACTTAGACTGGTTGCCAAAAAAGGGTGTAGTTCCTCTTCCAAATGCTGGATCACCTCAGGTCTCGGCTCCTGAAGTGCTGAGAATAAATTGCAGCAGCTCTTCAAAGGGATCCAGGGGAACTGTTCTCCAGTGGTGGATGGCTCTGTAAAATTAAAGCAGCATCGATTTGAGTTCAAAGGAGATTATTAAAATGTTCAATTTAGAAGGGGGAAGCAGATTTTTATCATCACTTTTATACAGGGGGAGAGACATCTCCCTCTCAGTTCCTTCCAGGCTGGGTTTGGGGAGGGAGTGCTCTTGCTTTTCCACAGGCTCGTTGCTGCTTGTGTAACTGCTTCCTCTGAAAGTAAAACAGTGGGTTCTGTTTGTTTGAGGAGCTTTTCATAAGGCAAATAATTTAAAAAAAAAAAAAAAAGGAAAAGAAATTGATTCTGTGCCAATACATTTTCCAGCTCCTGTACAGAAGGGGACTGAAACAGTTTATAGTGAAATCAGAAAAGCTAATAATGGTAAGTAAGCTAGTGAAAAATGCAACTCTTAAAGGAAGCATTTGGGAGGAGATTAGGGATAAATTTGTGACTGAATATTTTACAAGACAGTATTTAGAAGATAAAGAGCCTTAAAAAAAAGAGGTGCAAGTCCCACAGGAACATACTGAAGTGCAGCTACAAAATCACAGGTGCTGATAGATTGTATAACACCCTCGTGGCTCCTCATAAATCAACGATACTTATTGCAGTGGCATTAATATTGGTAACATCTACTTCATCAGCCCCTTTGTTTTGTACCTGCTGAGTATTTGGGCCCTGTATTGATCTGAATTAGAGCTGAACCCCTAACCCATTGGAGATTGGGGTCATACATTGTGTGAGGGGGCACTACCAGCTCCCTGGCAGTTCCTGACTGTAAATGTTGTGGCACTCCTGAGCTCAGAGACAGTGGGTTAACAGCATTTCTTCATCATTTGTCAGACTAAATCAGAAAGGATTTCCTTTCCTCTCTTTGCCTTAGGAAGTTGAGATTTGTAAATATTGGGGCTGCAAATTGTTCACATCTTTCCTCCATCCATGTGACCAAGTGGCTTTGTTGTGTGCCATTTTTAATTTTTGACTGTTGTGTTTTAATTTTCTTTTTTTTTTTGTATTTTATAAGGGATTTCCCACCTGCTCTGACACAGTCTTCTGTCTCTAGGGAATCTTTCGTGTGAGGGTCTCCAAGTACTTTAGAAAACATTACTTAATTTTCCCTTGTGAGGACACACATGGCAATTTTTATCTCCATTTTCCAGCTGAATAAACAGAGAGATTAGGTCACTCATTTAAAGGAATGTGTGCAGGGAGTGACAACACTGGGAACAGAGTTCCAGAATCCTTGGTGCTGAGCCTGTGCTCACTTTTCACATTGAAAATCAGAATATCCTTCACACTAAAATGGGACCAGGCCCTTGGTGCAGGATCACCTGGCAGCACCATGAGGAAAAAAACCATCAGTTTATTTTAGGGCTGAACCCAAAGGCCACAAATACTCTGACACAGTGTGAACTGGACCTGTGACAGCTGCTGCATAACCCCCCTCCTGCTCTGCCCAGGTGAGAGGGGGATTATCCCACCTCTCCCCATCCCTGCTCTTGACACCACAGAAGGTGTTGTGTCCTAGGGGGGTGTTTTGTGAGGGCAGGGACAGCAGAGCTGTAATTCCAGGCAGTTCAAAGGCTGTAATGCCATAAAGTGGGGACTGCAGTAAAATGAGAGATGATTGAAAGGCTGAGCTGGATTAGCCAAACCATCTGCAAACGCCCCTTAATCTTGCAGTCCACCTGCTCTTTCACGCATAACGTTCGGCACTTTCAGTTATTCTTGGAAACGTGGGAGCCGTTTATTGTTTCAATCCCGTCTGTTTTTCCTGACCTGATCCACAGGAAAAGTGCTGCAGGGAGATAAGCAGAGCATCCCCAGCAGGGCAGTGCTTTGGACAGCCACCTTCCAGCCAGTGCAACGTTAACTTGGCGCTGGGATGGGCTGTGGGATGGGGGGGTGGCCAAGGTGAATGCAGTGGAGGATCCCTAGGAAATACATCTGTTCTTCAGGAGTACTTGAATTTGTATTAATGTGAGGATGTTAAAGGCCAGGTGAACATCACTGCTGGGGGCAGAAGTTGGTTTACGCTTCTGATCTTCACTATGTTTGACTGTTCTTTGAGACTTTTGAGCAAAAGCCCACGAGTCCAATCTACTTCAGGAAGTCAAAGGGTCAGACAAACGTGTCCTCTGGGGAAATTCCAGGAGTTTGGGAAGTGGTGTCAGCCACACAGTTTGGCAGATTTAACACCTAAGACCCATGTAGCATTTTATTATTATTTGTTTGTAGGTAACTATTATGGTTTGGGGTTTTCTAATTAGAATTTAGTGCTTCCTAAGCAACCTCAGGGGGTTGTTTGTGCATTCCACAAACCGTGGCCACTGGAGAGGGAGCTGAAGCGCTGTCAGTGGTTGTTATGCCTGATGCAATTCTTTGTGACTGAGCTAAAACATTTTCCCTCCTCATTTTTTCTGGCAGCTCTCCCTGCTGTCCCCAGCAAGGCAGATGCCACATCAGTAACAAACTCTTCTGTTTTGCTACTGCTTGTCCTTATCCCCATTCATGAATCCATGGTGCAGATAATGCTCTGATCTTCCCCAAGCCTTTGGCACTGTGCTGAGTATCTGTCACTGTTCCTTTTGGGTTTATTCTCCTGCTGCTGGTTGTGTTGTCTCCTGTTACTGTCATTTGAGTGCCTTCATCCCACTACTCCTCACCCTCTCTGCTGTGCTTGCCTTGTTCTGAGTGCCAGGCCTAAGGAGGTGATTTTAGCTTTGAGATGGACAAACTGTCAAATGCTCATGGTTAACTACAGTGAACTCATTTACAGCAGGGAAAGCAGGACATTTGTGAAATTCAAGTCTAGTCAGGTGTATTCTGATTGAAAGTCAAATAATAGTCCTGTAGATCTTCGAGTCTGATGCTGGGTTTCCTCTGCTGTAATGAGAATTTAAAGAGGGTGCTGATCACTTTGTCTCAGAGATAAGAACTTGTCCTTGCACTGTTGCTGAAAGGTTAGTTTAATTCAGTGACATATTTGGTGTTCAGCAAGTTCCCCCAGGTATTGATTTAAAACCTTTTCTAGAGCAATAGGTTGTTACTTTAGTATTTTACATAAAATACCTAGAGCAGCTTCAAGCCCCAGCTTTGAATCAAACCTTACCCCCCCCATGGGAATTTGGGGAATGGTCACAGCGAGTGCCAGTCAGGGCAGTAACACCTTTGCCTAAAAGCCCTTTAGACTCACCAGGATGAACTGATTTCCTTAAAATTCTGGTGGCTCTGTGACAAGGCCAAAGTTTACTGAGGGAGGAACATCCAGCCCAGTCCCAGACTTGTTACTTTTTGCTCAGAAAGAACTGAGACGGTCCAAAAATTAAACAAAACAGGCAATTGCCTAAATCAAGAGCCTGCCAAGAATGACAGACTGGTGTGGCCCTGCTGCCCATGTGGCTGTGCTGCAGTCCCAGAGGGCCAGGCTGGCAGCTCTTCCTGAGGGAGGGTCAGGATGTGTCACCCAGCCAGTTCAGCTCGTGGGTGGAGGCTCTTTTAGACGTGATTTATTTCCATCACACCTTTCATCTTCCCCAGGGGCAGTAAGGGCAGGAAGTCCAAGCATCTCCATACTGGTTCTTTATCTCAGCTCCAGCCCTTCCCTCTGCTCCCAGTTCTTGGGGTAGCACAGCTCTGTTCCTATTGCTGGGGAGACAGGAGCCAACTCCAGGTCCCAGATTTCCTTACATTTTTCCAGGGCACTTCCTGTGACATTCCTGTTCCTCCAGTGAGCTCTGTCCTTGCTCTGTGCCAGACCCAAAGCTCACAGCAGCTTTGCACTGCTCTGTGTGTTCCCTGAATCCACCTCAGAGTGCCTTATTGCAAGGTGACCGATTCCTAATTTCTTATGAGGAAAGTGGAAATGCAGTGAACAAAATGCAGAGCCAGCCTTTTATGCTGCTAAGCCTGGAAAAGTGAACTGGTCACTTGGAAGCAGTTGCAGCGGTGAGACAGGAAACTCAAAGAATCCTACAGCAACCAACAATGCACTGTGGAAAAATAAATATATCCCAGTGGAAAGAGGCCTGAGAAATCCCCACTGCACTCAGTGGTTTGGAACAAACTATTTGAAATCAGCTCTAGCAATCAGGAAATCTGCTCAAATACTTTCCTGCTCCTGAAGCTCAGTCTTTAACACCTCCATGCTTGGCCAGAATTTCCCACTGGATGCTTTTTCCAGCACAGAGAAAACTCACAGTGTCTGGGGATTCACTGTGTTGTTCAGGACTCAGGTTTTATGAGCACATGCAGTCCAAAATTGTGCAAAGGACTTGTCCCTTCTCCAAAATAAGAACTCTTTGGACCTTTAGGTTTGTAGACACACTCTAGACCCGAGCCTGGATCTGGGAGACGCCCATTCCAGAGCCAAAGGCTCACAACAGCTCCAGCCCAAAATTCAGCAGAGCCAGATGCTTTCAGCAAGGCACAAATATGCTGGGAGCTTCTGACCTTGCTTGAACCCCCAGTGCAAAGCTGAATTTCGGGCATGCCCTGTGTCAGAGCTGCTCCCAAGCTGCCTGCCTGGATCCTGTGGCAGAAGCTGCTGCTCCAGGGCAGGGCTGGGCAGAGTGGGGGGTGTTTGTGTGTCTGCAGCACCTCCAGCTCGTGGGCTGCCAGCTTGGCTTTCACCAGCCTTGGACATGGGGTTGAGATGGATTAAGAATTGCAGCTTTTTAATCTCATATTCTCTTCTCCATCACCTGCAGCAAGAAGAAATGGTGGAGCAGGTGGAGATGAAATTCTTAAATTCCTGCTATTAATGTAGTCCTTTGTAAAAATGTGGCCTTTGAATTTAAAATCCCATCAACTAAAAGCAATAGCAAGGGTTTAAATCCATCAGAAATCCATAAAAACACCTGCCTTTGTTAGGCTTGGGAATATTTTAGAAATCCTCAGTATCAGACCTTCAGCTCTCGAGTCCTTTCCCAAAATATGCAGCTGCTTGTTTGGCCTTCTCTGTACATGACTGGAACCCAGCATATCTCCCTTCCCTCTTTTTGGTAATGAGGGAAAGCCATCATGGAAAACCTCTCTATTTTATCACAGGTAAAATAATGAAAAAACCCTAATTAAAAAAAAAAAAAAAGAAAGAGAAAGGCTGTGAAAAGATTGACAGAGCAAAGGATCAGACAAGCACGGTATCACTGAGCTTTCAGTAGTGGCTCCCTGCTGGTTTCCCTGGTTGGTAGCTGTTAGAAATCCCCCAGGAATCAGGTCCTGCCGTTCTCCTGGCACAGATGTGACCCTCAGGGAGGAAGCCCCGCTGGTTTGGATCTGGGTGACAGGTAACAAGGAGCTGGAATAGCTGGCACTGTGACCCAGAGGCTCTGGGCAGCCAACATCCCGTTGTTTGAAGTTGGGAATTTACACGGAATTTCTCATTTCCTCCTTCCTGTGAGCACAATACACGGTGACAGAACTAAATGACAGCTTGTTAATGCCTCACTTCATAAACCTTATGTATAGTTTTGTCCACTTAAAGCCAAGCTTTGATGTAGCACTGGGTCAGGGGTGGTTTTGTTCACTTCTCCTGCCTTTCAGGACACCAAAAGCTTTTGTGTGTGTTCCATTTTGTCTCTTATCAAAATGGCTAAACATGTATGGATCCATCCTACCACACACTGAGATCATTTTGTACTGAAATGTGGTTCATGCACTGGCACAGGGTGCTGCATCACCTCAGTTTTTAATCCTCTGCCTGGACTAATAGTTCTGTGTGGATCTGTCCTGGAGAAAATTCAGAATGTACCAAGCCAGAGACCCTGCCCTCTGTTTCCTGGTTACTTCTGCTGAAAAGGGAGTTCCAAAAACCTTTACTGAGGTCTGGTGATGGTAGTAGTGCTCTGCATAATATTCATGGAATGATTTCAGAGAACTTCTCAGAATGTTCTGCCTATGTTATTATTTGCTATTTAAAAACTAAATACTGAGAAAATACACAGATTTAGACATTATCCTGTATTTACAGGAAAAATACTGGCAAGATTAACCCAGAGCCCCAGTCCAAACCCTCTGCTTTGAGCATTAGAAGAATTTCCTCCACACAGCCTCTCTCTACTGAATTTTATATATTTTCCAAGAAAATCCCATTCAAGAGTCAGCACTTGCTTTTGTCATGTGTGAAGTATCTTAACAGAAAAGCACTTTTGACAAGACTTGAAGTCCTCTCCTCAAACTGGAGTTCCTTTCAGAGGGCAAATATATATTTATTGACTGTGTTCTCTGAAATTTCTGAATAGTTAAATCCACTTCTTTAAAAAACACAACCCTAAGATCTAATTTTGAGGTCACTGACCCTAAATGGAAAGAGCCTGCTGACCTCCAGGCTTTATTGGGAACGAGCAGCTTTTTATTAATAAAACTTCAGGTGCCTTTGCAAGACCTTGTTTGGCCCTGAAAATTGTATCCGACACCGGATTCCTGCAGTCCGTTATTTCCCTGGCGAGGAGCGGGGTCAGGAAGTTTAATGCTCCTGAGAAGTTGCCTCTTAAAGGAAGACTCTCTTGTCCAGTAACAGTTTGTGCCCTCAGGAGAGACTTGTGCCCTAAGCCATCCTCAAAAAGCTGTCAGACAGCTCAGTGTGGTCTCTGACATGTCAGGTCTCCCCCCTGCACTTGGGTTAAACCAGAGCTTGGACAGTCCTTGGATCCAGAGCTGGGCTCAGTTGTAGGTAGCAGATTTTACATCATTTCGAAGTGAACAAAAGGGTTAAAGTGCATCAACCTGCATTTTCTGGAGCACAGAACTCGCTCTGCTGTGTGCCATGTTGTGATTTGTGCACTGTGTTTTGTTTTGCAGGTTCTCTGGAGAACAGGCACTCTGTAAGTAAATGTTCTGTGCAGATAAAACCTGCTGGACTGGTCAGTGTGACACTGGGGACAGAGCTGGACAGAGCTGCTCTTCCAGTTCCCAGCTGCTCTCCTGGGGATGTGGCTGTTCACACACACCCCCTGGGACTGGAACATCCAAAAAAACATCCAAAAAAAAAAAGGGAGGTGCTTCCTAAGGTGTGAAGAGTTAAACTAAGGAGGAATGACCCCAACCTGCACAAGTCCCTTCTGTTCCCTGTTTGTGACCTCCTGGGTGTGTTTCCATCCACTGGCACAGCAGGTTGGGTGACTCCAAGGGCTGCTGCTAAACTGAGGCTGTGTAAGAAACTTTAAAGGCAGTTTTTAATTGCAGAGTACATTGCTGGGTCATGGCTGGGTCACAGTTATGCTGCTCTAACCAAGCACTGAGAACACCAGCCATTTAGGGAGCATCTCAGCTAAAAAACCTTGGAGTTGCAGGAAGGTTCTGTAGGTGGTGAAAAACTGCACAGTGCTAAGAAGCCAGTGGAAAAAATAGGGATTTTCTTTAAAAATCCAAGAAATGTCTTGAATGAGCTGTTACTCTGCCCTCAAGACATTTCAGGAGTACTTTTATGAATGTTAGAGAAGCTCTCAAATCCAAGCTCTAGACTTTGCAGAACAGGGAGGGGTTTTTTTGCCATCCACTTTGGAACTCGTAGTTCAAAAGAAAAAAGAAGAGACCCATAAATAAGAGTCACAATAGCCCAGTCTACGTCAGCTTGTGGCATCCATGTGAGTTTTGAAAGCTCCATCAGCACTCCCATCCCCCGGGACACACAGGCAGCCCATTGTATTATTTACAGACACTGGCAGAGCACTGAAGGTCACAGATTGCCTTCCAATAAACAGGCTCGTATTCAAACAGGCCAGGAGGGTTTAGAGTAGCATTGTCTTTTTTAGTTTAAAGGTTTGTTTTTGTTCTTTGCTCTCGATTTTCTAAAAATACGGGGAGCTGAACCCTCCTCCGGGTTGTAGCAGGAATTCCTTGCAGGAGAAAGTTTGTCCCTGTCCAACACAAAAGAGAAAATGGTCAAGGGGCTGTGACAGACATCAGTGTGAGCTCAGGGAGGAGGTTTTGTCTTCTTTTTTCCACAGCCTACCTAATTTACGATGGACATGGGATAAAAGATTAGAGTTTTATGAATTTTTTGTTTTGCTTTTCTTTTCCTGTGGTTGAAAGGGAGTAAAACATCTGTCCATGGAACTAGAATGGAAAAGTCAGTGAAAATACACTGGCTACCCCGTAAATGACTTCCATAATTAATTGGGCTATTAAAGCTTGCTAAACCAGACAATCTGTGAGGTAATGGCAGATTCAAGGAACAAGTGTCAGCTGAGGGCAGTGCTTTCTTTGTGTTTCTTTTATTACTCTCCTGTTAACAGTAGAAGAGTAATAAAACTCTTCTGCAAAACTAATCCCATTTTCAGAAACACCCCAAAGAAAAGTCAGGTTTTTAACACCTCACATCGTGCTTGAGGTTTCCTGGAAGTAGCTTGACTCAGTTCACCTCTGAGACATTGTCCCCTGCTTTGCTGCACTGTTCATGTACTAACATAGCAACTATTCCTTTTTTTAAAATTTATGAGTGCTTTGAAGTACATAGCAAAAAAACAGAGCCCTGTTCTATTCACAATATATAGCCTGGGGCAAAAAGCAGCACCATTTTGGATGGACAGATGAGGTTTTTTATAGATTTCCTGTCCCCTCTGTCTGCCTCTCAGCACTTTTCAGGCAGCACAGAAGAGGCAGGGAACTGCTAATGTGCTTTGTATCGTTATTTTCTTGCAGCTGGTTTTTTTTTTTCTGTAGCTCATTTTCACACAGTGCTTGACTGGGATGTCTCTCGGAGGTTTGGTCCAAATGAGGGGTTGTTGATCCTACTCATGAAAAGGAAAATGCTTCTTATGAAGTGATCAAGTGGCTTAAACTTCCTCCCCAGCTGTTCTGCTTCTTGATAGTCAAATTAAGTGTTTGGCTCAGAGGTGAAGCTGCTTTTAACGTGCTGCTCCCTTACTTGGTGAGTGAAAGGAGGCCTTCAGGTGGTCAGCTGGCATCTCAATGCCATGGAATGCCAGGTGGATTCCTTAGCACAGTGGCCTGTCACAAAACTTGTAGAATTTGGCTCTATTCAGGATGGAATAGCTGTTCCAGAAGTGTGGGGCAAAGGACACCCCAGCAAAAGGAGTGTTTTTCTAAGAGCTGTTTTCAGAGATGGGAGGACACTCAGCCTTTTTTGTTTTAGTAATGATGGGTGAGACTCAACATTGGATCCTCATGTCCTTTTTACTCCCTAAAATCAAATAATGTGGATTCCCCAGCTCAGATGAAGTCTGTTAATGCTCAGTTCTGCTTTGCTCTTCCAGAAGTCATGGGCAAAATACTCTTCTCTGTGGAGAAGGAAGATGGAACAAATCATTGTAATGATTGTCAGCCCTGCTTTTGTGCATTTGCCCCTACACAGTTTCTGCTAGAATAAATAGAATGCAGCAGGGAAATCTAGGAAATTTGCTTCATCTTCACTGAGAGACAATCACAAAATCGAGCCTTTAGTAAACACTATGCACTGACAGTGAGTGCTGTGTTAGGCATTCAAAGTGTTTGTATTGTGTCAAGAAAGGTTCTAGAAAAGCAACCAGTTAAAGTCTGAATAACTGAATTGTGTAAAGGCCCTGCTGCAGTACAGGTTGTGAGTGATTTGCAGTCCAGAGTACCTTGAACCTGAATGTCTGGAATTTTAGGGTCATTGAGAAAGGAACCTGAAGTTCTGTGTTGGGGGTTGCTTCCCTCCATCTCCTCTGGTTCAGAAATTTGTATCTTAAATGCCATCCATAGGAAGTATTTGCAAAAGAAATGAATTACTTAGAGAGGAACTGGGAGGAGGTTTCCTTCCTGAAATCAGAGCTGGCAATCTTTCTAAGTTATTTAATGGTCCCAGTTTCTGAAAACATATTGAAGGAAATATCTTGACAATGAGATAGCCACTTCGCCAAACCCTAATTGGTATTGTGTCAAATTTACCTCAGCAGAACGTTCTGACTTCATAGCTCCTGCTCTCCTGCTCCCTCTCAGCTGTGTGTGTGTGTTTGTTTGTGGGAGTCTGTCCTGGGGGTGCAGGAGGACTGGCAGCCTCGGCCAGGACATCGTGTACTTTCAGCTGCCTGTTTGCTCAGCCTCAGCCTGTGCCCTCTGAGACAGAAACCTGCACAATTTACAGCCATTTGGAGGAATTTCGAGGTGTTATTCAGCTGCTTTCTCATCCTGCCTGAGTGATCCCAGAAGTATTTTCTCAGTGGTGAAGGAGTTCACGTTGCCAGCGCAACGCAGCCGGTTCTGCAGGGGGACCTGGCGTGTGTTTAACTGGGCACAGTGACATGGCACAACAGTTGCAGACAGGAAAGGAAGATGAAGGATGTGTCCATTTAGAACTGGGTGGGGGGGGGGGTTGGGGGGAGAGATTTCAGGCAGTCAGGATATGGAAAACAAGGTGATACTCTGGAATAAACACTGAATTATAAACCAGGAATTCCTGCCTCTGACTCATGGGGCAAATCCTTTGGGGGTAAGGCCACAAAAGGAACGAGGCGCCTCGGTGCTGACAGACTAAACTATTAGGTTAGAGGCCACCATGTACTCTTAGAAATTCCTTGGAGGAAGACTTGCTTTGGCAGCCGATGTCAGGAAAGACCTGACAGTTGTGAATCCCCGGCGGACAGAATTATTTCTGCCGTATAATGTGAAAACAATGAAGTTTGGGATCTCTCTCTGCCCGTTCCCATTGGCTGGACCGCTGCATCTGCAGGTTCCCAGTGCCAGGTGTGTGTCCCTGCTGTGTGCTGCAGATAAGCTCTTCCCAGCAGCCAGGCTCTGGGAGGAACGTGGTGTCCCAAAGCTGCTCCCTGGGAGACACCAGCCTTAGGAAAGGGTTTTCCTTCTCACGAGATCGAAGCCGAGGATCTGATTGTGGCAGCTGAACAGCTCCTAGTAAATAGGGATGTGACTCCCAGATGTGTCGAGTGCCAGCAATTCCCTTAAAAATCCAGCTTTTATCAGCAAGCACCCGCTTGCAGATGTTGGTGATTAACAGCAGTGCAGTCTAGCCTGTAGTTGTTGACCTAAATCTCCCACTGTCTTATTTCCTTATATATCTGATGAAGATAATATTAATATCTCCCCAGGGAACTGTGAGTATCTGTTAGCTCACTGGTGCAGCACTCTCAGGAATGTTATGGGACAGGAGAGTAGGGGCACATTTATACTCACACCTGGCTTTGTTATGTTACAGGACAGGGGGTCAGAGGCACCTTTATACTCACACCTTGGTTTTTTCTCTTTTGCTCTTGTTGCCAACAGAGAATATCAGGGCATCCTGATGCTACTTAGAACAGTCATCTCAAAGATCAGCTGGGAGAAGAGAACAAGCCGAGATGGAAGACGTTGCAAACGTTTCAAAGGCTCCGCAGCAGTTATTTATGAGTTTGCCAGACTCTTCTTTTCAAAGATTATTTCCTTAGAGGGAACAATAGGGATGTTCCTAAAGCATTTAATGGAAAAAATTGCGAATAAAAATTCCCATAGGAAAGTGGCTCTAGAAACCACTGACCCAGGTTCTCATTTTGAATTTCTCCTGCTAATGCAATTTTGCCTTTTTTTTTTTTTTTTTTGCCTCCAATTCATCATTCCCTGAGGAAACAAAAGGGGAGGTTACAGCTGAGGAAGCACATTTCTACAGTGCAGCCACTATTGGGATGCCAGTGGGATGTAGAAATATCTGAGCTTGCTTTGAACTCGCTACCTTGGCTATCGGTGACACTTGTGTGGCAGAGCAGAGCTCAGCACAGCTTGGCCAGCCATGGATGTACCTTCTGATCCTGCAGCTTGTGCTGAACTCCCTGTGCTGCAGCAGCTGGACTGCTACCAGGCTTGGAGCCAGCTCAGAGCCCTGGGGATGCTTCCCTGCAGGGAGGGCCTGACAGAACAGAGAGCTCTGGGTGCTCGAAAAACTCAAATAACTGTCCAGAGATTCAGACTTTACCAAGTGCTTCTACCAGGAGGGGCACAAATAGTCTTTATTCTTTGCTAAACTGCTTTTCCCCTTTGAAAGGTCTGGTGCTTATTGGTTAGTTTGGTGTGATGGTTCTTCAAGAAACGATTGTCCATCACAGTTGGTTTGGATGGTTCTGTGCCAGGTCTTCAGGGAGTAGATGGATTTACTGCACCCAGGTCAGTGAGTTTGTACCTGAAAATCATGTTATGTATAATCCTTATTCCTTTGGTTTTAGGAGAGGTCTGAAGTCATACTTGTGCCCAGTTTGTCCAGTGTGGGACTCCATGCCTAACCTTTTCCCCTAGAGCATGATAAACCGCTAACATGGATCCAGTGTGGACCTGGCTCTAATCTCTGCAGCCCCTGTTTATCTCAGCTGCATTACTTTAAAAAAGAACCCAAAACGAACCAGATAAAATGCTGTCCCCAGCCCCATAACCAGCTGGCCTCTGGCACTGCAACTGCTCTCCTTTTCTTACTGCAGATTAAATTACTACAAGATCTGGGCCACAGGTAAGAAGGTTCTCATTTTAATTAGAAAATAGTGAAAGAGAGGCCGTGGATTGTATATACATATATAAAGTTACTGCTTTAAGCATTGCATCAAGGGTGCAAAACCACCACAAAACACAAAAGGGTTTTATATCCTCATTCCAAGTGTTTAAATTGTCAAGCTCCAGTTACTGGCTAATATCTCTAATTTATTGTTCCCTGTGCAAATGTTGTTTGTATCACAAGCCTGTCACAACCGACTGACTTCACAGCTCTCTTCTGTTGACAAATGTTCCTTCAGCATCCCACGAGTGTCCATGCAAATGCCTTAGTATAAGGAATGTGAAAAGGTATTTTAATAAAGAAAACTCTGAATTGACCCTTGCACTGGATCTTGCACGTTCATATCAGTGACCACTTGCAGATGAGTGCCCATGAGGGGTTTTATTAGCGATGAGCCACGCAGATCCATCGCCTGGATTTGCATATGGAATTGTCATCTCTGCACCAAGTGATTCCAGGCACTCAGAGCTGGAGTTCAGCAGCAGGTAAATGCACTAATTTGTTTTAAGAATTCAGTGTGGGAGTTCACACAAGTCTTTTACTAAATTACAAATGTAAAAGTTCCTCCACAAACCCTTCCCCACCCCTGGGACAGCTCAGGAAAGCTCTGGTTTCTGGGAAGTTTCGGACTGTCACCTGGGCATGATGGAGCTGCAGTGGGACAATTCATTGCTCGCTTTCAGCTTGTCTCTTGTCTGGAATAATCCTAAATTATTTTAGATTTAGTCTAATACAATTTGTTTGCCCTACTGAAACGTGTGTGAACTGTCCATTTCTCAGAGAGCCATGTGCTGCTTTGAGCCTTTCTGTTTTGTCTTGCAGATAACAAAAGTAACTCAAAATACAGGACATTAGATCAGCAGATGTCTCCAATGAAGACAAGGTAAATGGGCCCATGAAGTAAACAGCTACACAAGGAGACCAAAAGTCCTGATATGAGCACGTGCCAAAAAAGCCTTATTATCCCATGGGAAACATTTGGGAAATGCTGAAACAGACTGGAGCTCAGATTAGAGCTCAAACTGGACGTGACTGAAAACAGCCAAACAAAATTCAGATTTCTACGCTGTCACCGCGTTGAGCTCAGCAAATATAAAATGAGGTGCGTTGGTAAATGTTTACTTTCCGAGCGGGGCAGAAGGGGTGCCATGGCTTGTCCGAGCGATTCCACCGACAGCACCACATCCTGAGGGAAAGCCCTACCCACCCCACGGCCTCACTTGGGTAACTCAGGAACATTCCCACTCTCACAGAGCGGAGGCTTTAGCGGTGAGACACCGAAATGCTTCAAACAGACTCTTCCTCCTTGCCGCTGTTGTGTTTTTTTCCCTCTGTGTCGTTTCCACCGCGTGTTTCCTCGTGCCGATCGTGTCTCTGTGTGTCTGAGGGGCATGTTTGTGTGTCTGTGCCGGTCCCTCAGGGCCGTGCCGAGCCCGGCGCTGACCCCTGGTGGCCGCCGGGCGAACGGCGGGGCCCGGGCGGGGCCTGTGGGGAAGGCTCCGGTGCTGGGACGGCTTCCCACGCTTTTAATTAGTAAATAAACCGAGCCGCTCTTAAAGAAGGTGTTAAGCCATTAGAGAGCGTCCAAAGGAGGACGGTGGAGCGGCTGAGGGCACTTGGTGTGTTCTGCCTGGAGAAGGCTGAGGGGAGACCTCGTTGCAGTTCAGCTTCCTCGTGAGGGGCAGAGGAGGGGCAGGCACCCCCTCTAAGCTCCAGACACATTTACAGCAGAAAAACAAATGTAAAATGTATCATTTGTTTGGGGAGTTTCAAGTGACCCCTGTCAACCCCCCTTTAACCCATTTAAAATCCTTTTGGGAGCAGCATTGAGAGATGAAATTACACAGGTCGATGTTTTCCTCTTGCTACTGAGCTCTCAAGAGCAACAGCTTTTTCTCTTGCTTAGCCCTTTTTCAGCATCCTCTTCTAAAAAACCTTCCTTACAAACTAGAAGGAATAACAAGGCCTGGTCACTTCCTGAGCCACATGAAGGCAGGGGGAGAGAGTTTGGGGGTGCAGAGGAGACTGAGGGGAGACCTCAGTGCAGTTACAGCTTGTGGTGAGGGCAGAGGAGGGGCAGGACTGAGCTCTGCTCTGTGGGGACAGGGACAGCCCCCAGGGAATGGCCTGAAATTGTGTCAGGAGAGGGTCAGGTTGGATCTCAGGGAAAGGTTCTTCCACCAGAGGGTGGTTGGCACTGAACAGGCTCCCCAGGGCAGTGGACACAGCCCCAAGGCTGCCAGAGCTGCAGGAGGGTTTGGCTGATCCTCTGGGGCACAGGGGGTGACTCTTGGGGCTGGGCCTGTGCAGGGCCAGGAGTTGGACTGGGTGGTCCTTCTGGGTCCTTCCAGCCCAGCACATTCTGTGATTCTGTGAACAGTTTCCTAAATGCAGTGTAAACCTCCCAGCCATGGCTTCTTCCCCTCTTCCATAGGTTAGTGAATTGTTTGTAAATGCTGGGGCACTACTTTGAGCAGAGTAAATATCCTGTTCGTTGGTGGGTGATAAACCTCACAGTTTATTTACTTTTCTGGGGTGTTATGTGTTTGTTCCACCTGCTGCTTTATGAGATTGGTTCTGTTCAGGTTCTTTATGCTGCAGTTCATCCCTAAGCTTGTCTTGCATCATGAGCCCACAGCTTTTGGGGACAGGGAAGAGGAGAGGACAAGGAACAAGGAAGGGAGAGGACAGGAACAGGGAAAAAAATATAGTTTAAGAAAAACAAAGCTATCAAATGAAAAACATTCCCCCCCCCCCAGTTACACTAGAAATCAAACTGAAAGTAATAAAGTATCAGTACAGATTTAAAATGCTAGCACATTTTGTTATTTAGAATGTCAAGGCCTTTCTAAGTAGGCTGGTGAAAGCAAAATAAGCATCACTTTTGCTGTTATTTGGGAGGTAATAAGCAAGTTGTCACGTCTAAAGAATCACAAAGAACGGGGCTTTATTGCCTTCATGCTTTGAAATGCTCCACTCTAAATCACAAGTGCTCCCATTAGAGAGACGAATGTAGCTTGCATGGGAAGCTTCAGCTAAATGTGAGCATTTATATTTATACAGGTAATTTATTTTCTCACCAGCCACAGACATGCTGAGTGGGAAGGCTGAAAAAATTCTCACCATTGCAGGCAATAATCGCTGTAGTTAAATTTTAAATTTAATAGCAAAAGGAATCGCAGTTTCCTCGGGGAGAGAGTCACCTGCAAAGTCTGATGACAGAGAAACAGAACAGCAGCGTGAGGCTGAAATGAAAGATTTAGCACAAAGCAGCAAAAGCCAAGGCAGCCACTGCAAAGGCACACGGGCTCTGCCCCATCAATCTGGACCTGCAGGAGCGCTGGGCTGTGTGAACTTCTACGGGTGAGTGTTAGAGATGGACCTCCCACAGTTCTGACCACACTCCCAAGGCCAAGGGGAATTCAGATCCAACAGGTATCGTTTGAGGAGAAATCCCACAACTAAACTGTTACTTACAGGAAAGATGGAATCTGCCTCTGAAATGAATGGAGTAGTAATATATTCCTGTGCAATTCTGAAAGCATGAGAGGGGTAGATGAAATCAGGGTCTCCTTTCTGGGCAATGAAAATATGACAATTTTTTCACTGAATGAAAACCAGAAGTGACCAGTGTGATAGTTCATCTTCCTCTGGTTACTGCCCTGATTTTTCTAGTTGTCTTTTTGTTTTAATGTTTTACTTGGGAGATAAAAAGAGATCCTAAAATGAAGGCTTATTATGGTGAAGGAAAAAAATGAAAATAAGATGAAAGGAAAGAGTCAGGAGGCACTGAGGGGTCTGTGATCCACAGACTGTGATGCTGGCACTGGGAATGTGCTTCAAAAGGAAACATCCCATGACACTGGGATTTAGCTGGCAGAACCCAAGCCCTGCTCAGTGCCTGCAGAGGAGCTGTGACTGCTGAAATCACCTGTTTCCACAAAGCACTGTCAACACTGCACAGGGAGAGCTTGGCTTTAAATCCTCCGCACTGGCTTCTTGTTTATCCACTTCTTAACTCCAGGCAGAGCCAAGTCTCCACTGTGACTGGCACAGGTTCACTCTGCAAATCAAGGAGACAGTGCTACAGGGGCAGAAGAGTCTGCCCTGTGAACTTCAGTTGCTCAGAGGTGCCGAGCTGACAGCCCTGACTGGCTCTGTCCTCATGGAACTAATCTGTGCCAAACCCTGAGCTCCCTGGGGCTCCCTCTGCCCTCCCAGGCGCTTTGCTAGTGGGATCTTCTGGAGTGGCTCAAGCTCCAAGCAGCAGTAAACTGGGGAAATGTGTCAATCACCACCTTCCAGCCCCACCTTTTCCTTAGGGAACTCTCTGCTTCGTGTGGGGTTAAATGCTTCCAAGGCAGTGAAAATAAAAGCTGCTGGTCTGTCCTCAGGAGCAGGGGGGACAGAGAAGTTGACATCAGTGGGACAAACACGAGGGGTTTGTCTTAAATGAGCTGAGTCCTCCTGGTATTTCTAGAAGGGGTGAACTTGGTATCTCTGCTTGATAATAGTCTGTGAGAGTCCAAGGGAAGAAAAAATCATGTGAAGTCTATTAAGATGTGGTCAGAGTGTAAGTCAATTAACAAAAATTGCAACCACCCAGGTTATTAAATTAACATGAGATTGTCAATAGGAAATATAGATTGCTTTTGAATGAATGCTAATGATGAAAATCCCACAGTCTCCCATAATGCAAAGCTTAGTTTTGATTTTATTAGTGTTTGAGTTGGGGTTTATATTTTTGTTTCAACTTCATGCTCATTAAAGAACAGGAGTTTTAAAGAGCAAGATTTTCATATTTAGGAATGCTGAGAGCTGCAATATCTCGTAACTGTGTTACGAGGCAGAAGCTCAGGGGTGGCTGGAGATGAGCTGTGGTTCTGCAGAGTGATCCATGGCAGAGCTGGAATCAGGGAAAGCCAAGGGTGTCTGAGCGCAGTCCTTGCTTGCAAAATGCCAGATCCCATTTTCCAGCCCCTGCCTGTGCCCGTGTCACCCAGGGAGGGGATCAGAACCTGACAGCCTGGATTGCTGCAGTTGCTTTGGCCAGTGCTTCCCACAAGCAAGTGAAATCCTTGGGTGACACTCCCAGAGCTCTGGTTTCCGTGGCCTCCAGATAAGAATTTAGCATTTTGCACTGCCCTGGACTCCTGGAAGTGCTGGCCTAGAGACAAGGAGAACAGCAGAGAACCCCCTCAGTAAACCTGGTCAGGGCATTCCTCAGGGCTGAAAGAACAGCTCTGACTGTACCTACAGCACTGGGGAAAAACTGGTTCCACCTGCAGGTGCCGAGCCTCAAACAGCCCCCAGGTA